CCATGTATAGATGGACAGTATTTTGTTTATCCGTTCGTCTGTTGATGGACACTCTGGTTGCTGCCAGATTTTGCTTATTGCGAATAAAGCTACCATGAGCGTTTTTGTACAAGCGTCTGTTTGCATCCCTGCTTTCCAGTCTTCTGGGTATATACCTAGGAGCTCACTCTGCTCTTGACCTTCCCAAACACGTGAGCAAGCATGTCACTGTCTGCTCCGGAGTCCCCGGTGGCTCCCCATTCCTTGTAGAATAAAGCGTGAACTGAGGGTCCTTTACTTGATTAGGGAAGGAGGAGGAAGGAGCTGACGGAGGGAGAGGCAGAGGCCCAGGAGCTAAGTCTCAGGTTGAGGAGCCGATCTAGACCCGCTGTGGATCACAGAGCTGCTCTGTGGTGACAGCGATGGCCAAAGCATGGGGAATGGCAAGGAACGCTGCCCAGTCTAACTGGCTGGGCACCTGCTCAAGGCCTTTCTACATGTTCCAGAGGTCCTCTCCTATTAGCCCAGGTAACCTGCACAGCTAAAGCAATCCAACTAGCCCCTGGCCTCAACTAGCCCTGGCCTCAATTAACCCCTACCCTCAACTAGCCTACCTGGCTTCAACTAGCTCCTGGCCTCAACCAACTTCTGATCATGAAAGCTTTTCAAAACCTCCTCCACTTGCCCCCTTGATTTCCTGCCTCACTATTATTTATGCCTTTGCCCATCTGGGAGGCCTTTACCTACCTGCCTCCTTCTAGGACATTCCCATGGTCCCAGAAGGCCCACCTCAAATGCACCCTGTGGGCAACACTTTTCCTGCCTGGAGGAGCCTTTGGTCTTGGGATCACTTGTGTATGATCTCCGGGTGCCTCCCTCCCTCACTGTCTTGCCTCCCTCAGGAAAAACAAGGGGGCTAACGGTCAAGGACGCCTGCAGACCGAGTCGGGACTCTGCAGAGAGGTTCTCGTGAATCCTTGAAACCACACCATGCAGAAGGCCTCCTTCTACCCACTTCACGGACAAGGAGACTGAGGCTCAGAAAAGCTAAGTAACCTGCACAAGATCCTATTATTAGGAAATAAAAGATGAGATATTCAAACCCCGATGGGCTGAGAGCCCAGGACACCTCCATGTCCCTCCCAAGGCCCCCTAACTAAACGTGGTGACCCCCCAGGCCCCGCACACGTTGTGGACACGTATGTGGTGAATAGATGTTTGCTGAGTGAATGAAGGCAGAATCTGAGCTGGCTACACCTGATCTACAAGGACTCACGACGAGCCCTGTGGTTTGGTTGGCTGTGGGCTGAGAGAGAAGGGATCATCGTGGACCAGACACCCAACAGAAAACGGGGAAAGTAGATTGTGGTAAGGAGTCCTGGTGGTGCACCAGTTAAGCGCTCTGCTGCTAGCTGAAAGGTCGGTGGTTTTGTGACCCTAATACCCCCCAGCATGTTTTCTCCTTTTCAGAATGGGCAGCTGAGGGCCTGACATAACTAAGGTGAACCTGTAAGGTTTTTTTCTTTTCTCTTTGCCTTCTCCCTTTTCCCATACCTTCGTTAGTGGCTTTGTTTCGCTGGTACCTTTCTTAATGACTCTGTTTTATGACTTAGGATTCCCCGCAGGAAGATTAGAGCCCAGATGTCAGAGACCTATATCTTTAGCCTGATAAGGAAATGTCCAGTTCCCTATCTCTTTAGTATAGTAAAGAGTCTCTTGTAATTCTCTTGGAGTAAATAACACTTCTAACCCTTTGTAAAAATCATATATAAGCTCTGAGGTAAAAATGCTTTTTGGGACTCCCTAAGGGCAGCCTGTGTTGCTGTAGGATCCCTGGCGGTGGACACTTCCTAAATTAAAACTTTCTTTCTCCTTCTGACTTGGAGTATGTTTCATTGGCTCGACTGCTCCAGGGCACGGACCCTATTTGGGTAACAGTTTGAACCCACTGGCTACCCTGTGGGAGAAAGAGGTGGCAGTCTACTTCCTTAAAGACTGCAGCCTTGGAAACCTATGGGGCAGTTCTACTGTGTCCTATAGGATTGCTATGAGTCAGAATCATCTCAATGGTGGTGTTTTTTTTTTCCATTTTTTAAAATTTTAGATTGTGAAACCTGGACTCTACCTGTCAGTGCTGTGGATTCCCAAACCAGGACGTGGGGGGTGGGGGGAAGGGTCTGTGGGGCTGGGACCAGATATTTGCATTATAATGGGTCTCTCTGTTGCAATGAAGGCTGGGTGCTGAGCTTGCTCAAGCTTTGCAGGAAGCTTCTAGGCCTCCAGATAGCTGGATCTCCATGGAAATTAGTTTGCGGAGAGAAAGGAGCTATTTTAAGGACACGCACAGAAGAGAACCTGGCAGGCTGGGGTGAGGGAGGGGAACTGTGGGGGAGCGTTTCTGAATTACTCACTCATTTCCCTCCTACTGGGGTGAAAAAAATGGCATGGAAAAATCATCGACCCTGGGGAGGAGGGGAGATGGCAAGGCTGATCTGCCGCTGGCAGCACTGGGCTGCAGGACCACCCTCCAGGCGGCCGTGGAGGGTGGAGGCGCCAGGAGTGGGTGGCTATTAGAGAATGTCTATTATGATAACAGCACCTTCCTGTTGGCATAAAACTCTGTTGGTCTTGTCCACTGGCTTGCATCTAAACATGCAGAAAAGGGAAAAATTTGCTTCTTAAAAAAAAGCAACTGTACCATTATTGAACATTTTGATTGAAGAGTCTGTAGAAGAATCCTGATCAAAAGGGGGAAAACGCAGAACAGAATTTCAAATTATCATGGCCTCCAGACTTTCTGGAGCCATGGAGCTTGGATGAACCCCATACTATTGTCCTGAGACAATCTTTAAACCTTAAACCAAAAATATTCCCTGAAGTTTTCTTAAAACCAAACAATAGTTTAGTTTGCTGTTGTTAGATGCTGTCTAGTCGGTTCTGACTCATAGCGACCTTATGTACAACAGAATGAAACACTGCCCTGTCCTGTGCCATCCTCACAATCATTGCTATGTTTGAGCCCATTGTTCAACTTAACTAGTAAAAAATGTCTGCATTGAGCATTATGTTCTTTTAAGAACTATCTATATGGGATCAGGAGATACCAATAGCTGGGGAAGAACATCATGCTTGGTGAAGTAGAGTGTCAGCGAAAAAGAGGAAGACCCTCAACGAGATGGATTGACACAGTGGCTGCAACAACGGGCTCAAACATAGCAATGATTGTGAGGATGGTGCAGGACCAGGCAGTGTTTCGTTTTATTGTACATAAGGTCGCTGTGAGTCGGAACCAACTCAATGGCACCTAACAACAACAACAGGTAACTAAGACAGTGCTTGTGTGTTGTTGTGATGTTGAACCTGCTGTGCTTGGTCCAAGCCCAGTTTCAAACTGAGTCTTTGCAGTCTCATCTGTTTGGGAGCAATGCATCCTCATCATACCACCATAACACTCAATGGACCATGTGCCCACTCCCTGCTTTCCTGAGGGTGGTGGTGAATGAGGGTCCTGGGCATTGAAGGGAGTCCTTGTCCAAGAGGATGGGTTGGACTGGGGTCTGGCAGTGTCTCAGGTACAGAATTCTCTCTCTAGAGCTAGACAGTGAGCGATGACAGGTTCATGCCAATTGGTGACCCTCCTTGGATAGCAGGGGCAGGAACTCGGTGCCTACAGGGCTTCCAGGGCCCTCAGCCTAGCAGAGGAGCGCACGGTGACCCTGGCTCTCACTCCTCTTACGGCCCCTCCCTCTTTTCCTTTCTCAGCCGCAGCATCCATTGATTCAGCCTCTTGAAGTGGAACCACTCTGCCCTCAGTTGAACCAGGCAGCACAGTGATGCCTCAGGGGGCATCGTAGCGAATCCTGGTCAGAGAAGACTCTTCTGCATTATATTTAAGTGTCAAGAGGGGTACTTACATTTGCTATCTGGAGATGAGTGAGGGTCATGGCTGTGGTAGGCAGCTTCCAAGATGGCTCCCAAGGATCCCTACCTTTGACTATGCAAACTCTTGTGTAGTCGGTCCCCTTCTGCATAGTTCCAGGGTCGGTCTGTGTGACCACTAGCATATGACAGAGGTAATAGTGTGTCACTTCCCGGATTAGTTTATAAAAGACATGCAGCTTCCATCTGGAGTCTGTCTTAGGTCTCCTGCTCTGGGGAAGTAGTTGCCATGTTGTGAGCATCCCTGGAGAGGCCCATGTGGGAGGGACTGAGATCTCCAACCTACAGCCGTCAAGAAACCTCTGAGGCTTCAGCTCACAGCCACATGAGCGAGCCCACTTGGAAGAGGACCTTCCACTCTGGACAAGTCTTCAGATAACTGCGGCGCTGGCCAATGTCTTGACTGCAACCTCATGCAAGACCCTGAGCCAAAACCACCTAGCTAAGCTGTTCCTGGATTCCTACCCTTAGGAACGGTGAGATAATACATGTTGGTTGTTTTAAGCTGCTAAATTTTGCAGTAGTTTGTTATGCAGCGGTAGCTAACCGATACATTGGCATAGCTAAGGGTTAGCAGAGACAGCAACTTCCTCCCTTGAGCATATTTTTCCCATTTGGTGTCTTTTCAGACTATAAGATACCAGCGACAAGAGTCCAAGGATGATGATGTCTTTATTATATGGTCACACCCTTGGACTGCAGAAGCTCTCTGGGCTTCTTTTGAGAGCTCGTTTGTGTTGTGGGGTGGGGTAGGGTGGGCAGGGAGAGACTGGGAGACTGGGGGACGTTCAGGAAGTGGGCAGGGATTGAGTCTAGTGGCCATCAGCAAGCCCTGAGCGTGTGCCCTGGAAGAGAGGATGGAGAACTGAGTCTGGTGAAGGACCACAGCAGTTGGATTCCTGGTCTGCTGGGATACCCCTCAACTGCTGCAGGGGAGTCCCTGAGCCACAGCACTCATAGCTAGCACCTGTAGTGTGGGAAGATAGGGGACCTGCCTTCTCAGGACCCAAGACTTATGGAACAGTGGGGTCTAGACACCTCTAGGGTCCCCAGAAGCCTTCGGAAGGAAAGCATGTGGCTCACACTTCTTGATGGAAGACCATCTCTGGGTAGAGGTGCTGCTGAGCTCCAGACACCAGCCCCAACAGCCTAGAAACGTGCTCGTGGTTCTGAATGTCAGCAGAAAAACACCACACGGGTGGGCGCCAACTGAAGACAGGCACAATTTATTGGTTACACAGACTGACACCCGGGGGAATATGGCGCACTGTTCTCCTGCACACCCACACACCCAGGTTTGGTTTCCTACAGTAAGTCTGTTACATCAAAAACAAAACAAAGAAAACACATCACCAATCTATTCTCCTAATAACCAAGGAAGCAGGGCCAAAAGACGGATTTCTGGAAGAAGAAAAGACTTCCCTGTTTCTAGAGCCTGGAACTGAGCAGCCCGCCCTCCTGGCAGCCAGGCTGGAGAATATGGCTTTTGGCAGCAACATCAAAGACTCTTCCACTAGCACGTGGACATCTGTGTTGGAGGGCTCGGGGCCAATCCATGCCCACCCAGTGGGCCTGGTATCTCTAGCCCTGGGCTGAGGCTGGCTGTTTGCACAGGAGTGTAGCAGCCGATCGATCTTCCTTCTCCTTCCAGCTAATGAACTGAAGGAAGCCAGAGAGATGTCCGCTCTAAGCTTCTGCTGAGTCAGGGCTGCTGGGGGTTTAGCCAAAGCAGGTTGCATCACTGAGGCTAGACTCTGCCAGCTTTATTGAACCCAAAATGAACAACTGAGACTCTTCAGCTCTCCAAAGTCCAGGACCTTGTCTCGCTCCCAAAGGGCAGGCACCCTTTTAATGCTTTGTCCAAACCGCTCTGGATAGACACCCATTCTGAAATGGTGGGTTTGGAAATCTGGGTTTAGTTGATGAGGGAGATGCAACACTGAGGCTGTCCTGACAAAATGTTCAAAAAGCACTTAGCATGGTACTTGGAACACAGTGAGTGCTCAGTACATGCAGCCATTATTATTATTAATATTAATATTATTATTATTAGGTATCTCTACCCCAACCTTCGAATCTGCACTCTAGATTCTTGCTTCAAAATGGCGACCTGAATAGAGCTCTTGGGTCCCAAGTACCAAGGTTGAGCTGGAACCCAGGGTGCTCGCTCCCTTCCAGCCTAGACCCCACACCACACTTCACAGCCAGCGGTTCCACGGACCACACAGAAGCTAGTCCCGCTCTGGACAGGAAGCCTTGTCATGAAGCAGCAGGAGCAGCTGGCAAGAGGTCCCGGCAGGCGTCTGCTGGGCTGCTTACTGCTCCTCTGGGCTCCCTGTCTCGCTGGCGGCTCCTAGGGCTTCACTGCGGGGACAAGAACAGACGGTATCAGGGCCACATTTAACCACAGATTCCTGGGTCCCTACATGCTGTAGGTTCAACCAGGCTTCCTCTAACACATAGCTGAAAAGGGCCGGCACGGACTTATACATGTTCTAGTGTATATGTAAATATAATACAGATATAATAAACATAATAAAATAGAGTAATAACATAGATATGGTATATATGCAAATGAATATATGTATATATTATACCTACAAACATACTAATTTAATTCTCCCTATAAATCTGTGAGGCAGGTACCATTAATAGTCCCATTTTAAAGATGAGTAAACTGAGGCATGGGACCAGGAAGTGGGAGAGCTGGGATTCGAATCCAAGACAGTCTGGCTCCAGAGTCCACCCTTAACCACTATATTTTTGCTCAAAAATAAACTGATTTTATAGGAAGGAAGGGGGACATTGTGTTTGAAGTCTCGAAAACGCTGGGAAAATTTTAAGTACTAATGATAATAGAATATAAATTATTTTGGCTCCATTTATCAGTGGAGCCTTATTCCTATGGACCTGATGAACGGCTAAGAGTTTATACACAGCCCCTCCTTTAGGCCTTTCAGAGAGGCAGGGGAGGACTGGGGACTTTGGGTGCAGGCAGGCCTGGGTTCCAAGTCCGCCTCTACCCCCTTCCTCATGGAGCAGTCCCTCCCCTGCCCCAGGCCCACAGTTTCTCAGAACCTAGCCCTGGGCACACATATGCACACACGCGCGCACGCACACACGCACCCATGCACGCGAGCCCCCGCGCACCTGCGCGCACCTGCATGGCGGTCCTGCCGAGCGGCCCCTCCTCGGGCCGGTGCTTGCCGTGGTGCAAGAGCTCGGTGTTGTCGCGGTAGTCGCGGCCCTTGGAGTGCTGCAGGTGCAGCACGGCCAGGCTTTTGGCGGGCAGGGGCGGTCGGAGCTGCGTGGGCGCGGGCGGGATCGGCTGGCTCATTTCTGACCTGGACGGCTTCACGGGCCTCTTCGCCGGCACGGGCGCCGGCGCCTGGGAGCTGGCCGCGGGCTTGGGCTTCCCGTGGTTCTTCTCCCCGCCGGCCGCCGCTCCGGCCTCTGCGGTGGAGGACGAGCAGGTGAAGGAGCGCAGCCGGGGCGTGGGGACCTGCTTGCTAGTCCCCTTGGAGCTCTCGGCCTCCTGCGCTTTGGTGAGCAAGATGGTGGGTGAGGAGACTCCAGGGTCTGGGCAGGGTGGGGGCTCCTTCCTCAGCATCTTGGGGGATTCCTGCTCTTTCCTGGGAACCAGCTTAGGGAAGGAGCTGACAGACCCGTACAGCGGGTTCTCAAACATCTCCGGCTTCTGCTTGGTCAGCGGCAGGTCCTCCTGAAGCAGGGGCTCTGCTATGTTCTTCGCCAAGTCGCTGGGCCTAGAGCCACAGAGTAGAAGACAGAAGGGGCGGGGTGGGGGAGAGAAGAAACCTTCGTTAGGAAGAGAAGATAACTGTGTTGTGTATCTGTTGGCGTTCTTGTAGGCAACCTCTATTCTTGCCTGTGACCTTTTCCTCCATGAAAACTGTTTATACCAGAGCATGAGCGAGCAAGGGGGACTCTACTGAAGGTTTTCTGGGAGAAATAGCCCCAGACCCATTGCCAGTTCGATTCCAATACACAGCAACCCTGTAAGAGAGAGTAGAACTGCCCCATAGCGTTTCCAAGGCCGTAGTCTTTATTGAAGTGGAGTGCCACGTCCTTCTCCTGCAGAGCGGCTGGTGGGTATCTTTTGGTTAACAGGTGACTGCTTAACCAATGTGCCACCAGGGCTCCTTTTGGGACAAATGGAAGAGGGCTTATGTTGCCCGTCCAGTAGCATTAGGGAAATGCAAATCAAAACCACAATCAGATACCATTTCACACCCACTAGAGTGGTCATCATAAAAAAGACCAGAGCAACCAACAACCCCAAAATGGAAAATAACAAGCGTTGGTGAGGATGTGGAAAAATTGCAACCCTCAGCCATTGCTGGTGGCAATGTAGAATGGTGTAGCTGCTGTGGAAAACAGTTTGTCAGTTCCTTAAATGTTAAACATAGAATTACCACATGACCTAGCAATTCCACCGCTAGGTATATACTCAAAAGACTTGAAAGCAGAAATTCAAACAGATACTTGGACATGAATGTTCATAGCATTCTTCACAATAGCCAAAAGGTAAAAAAACTCAAATGTCCATTAATGGATGAATAGATAAACAAAATGTGGTACATACATACAATGGTATAGTACACAGCCGTAAAGAGAAATGAAGGCTTAGTGCATGCTACTCCATGGATGAACCTTGCAAACATTATGCTGAGTGACCTATGCCAGGCACAGAAGGACAAATACTGCATAATCCCATGTATATGAAATATCTAGACTAGGCAAGCGTATAGAGACAGAAAGTAAATTCGAGTAAATGGACAGTGATTGCTTAATGGGTCAGAATTTCTGTTTGAGGTGATAAAAAAGTTTCGGAAATGGAAAATGGTGATGGTTGCAAACAAAAATTATTCTGTACATTTAGGATTAGTGCACTTTACTGTTTGCAAGTTATGCCTCAAATAAAACACCTTTGAGGACATTGAAAAAAGCCCTACTCTCCCAAATCCTGGTCATATAAGCCTGCTCTCCGCAGTTCTTTCTTCCCATACTGCTGCCAACAGGCCTTCTTTCCTGACTCCCTCTCTCCCCAGCCAAGAATCCCTCAACCTTTCCTCTGCTGTCTCCAGCAATTTTGCTCTGACCCTCATTTGCATGCCTGCTCAGTGGAACTCCTCCTCAGAAGGGAGTTCAGTGGCCAGCTGGGTTACTTGAGGGTCTCAGCTCAAGAAGCTTCATTTAACAAACATTTACAAGACCTACGTGTGAGATGCTGTCCAGCACAGGGACGAAGACGTGAACAGACAAAACATCCTGGTTTTTAGGACCCGTGTTCCAGATGAACACACGTTCTTTCCAACCGCTTCAAGTCCTCTCCCTGGAAAGCTTCTGGTGAGCGTGTAGTTCCTTCACCTCATAACTAAAAAATTGGAGGAACAAGATGGTGGCCATGGGGAGAGATGCGAGTAGCGGGGTGGGGAGGTCAAAGATCAGGAGCAAGAAAACACGACCGTTTAACTTATGAACAGAGGCAGAACTCCACGTAGGGACCCAAGGTAGGCAAGAGCTGCCTTTCCTTTGCTGTGCTTGTTTTCTGATTTATCACTGCTCTTACTTGAGGTCTTCGTGCTGAGCAAATTGCAAGAAGAAAGAATGAGAACACATTTTACTTTCTGACCAGAGGCATAATCTCCCAGGGGAGTGTTCCAGCTCCTGTTTTCTACAATAGAAAGAAAACATGGGTCCCTTGGAACCCACTGAGTCGTTCAGGCCATGACACTGTTACCACTAGAACGTGTGCCGAGACACTGCTCAACAGTTGCTGAGCAGCCAAGTTTAGTAGACTCTTTGGGGGGTAGGTGTGGGCTCAGGGGACAGAGAAGAGATGTCATCCCTGCACAGCGCCTATAACCAGACATGATGTGGGGTTTCAGGCCAGGCTGGCCTCAGGGATATGCCAAAGGGGGCTTGACTGTAGACATGAGGTTTTTGCTCATTACTTTTTGGAAAGATCTGGAAGCAGTTGCATAACTACACATGCTGGGGCCTTAAAGAAATACTTTGGAAAGCTGTCCCTCCACCCGTCTGGGTCCTCAAAAGCCTTTGCTATGAGTTAACCCAGGGAGAAGGGTGTAAGACGGTGGAAGCAGCAATGACCACAGGTTTTCAGATGAAGGAGTAAAAGGGAGAAGAGAAAATGACATGCGTGACCCAACGCCCAACCACCCCATTTCCAACGGCTGAAAAGTGAGGAGGGGGCTCACCTGAGAGAATTGGGGGGCAGGGCCAGGAAGAGCTGCCCCAGAGGGAAGCATTTTTGTGATTTCAAAGCTCAACCCCCTGGGAAAGGGCAGGGGGTGGAGACGAGTGCAGTCTTCCCACTAGGAAGAAGCTTCCATCAGGTTTGGTGAACAGACTGAGGGGAGCCGGATGGAAGGTAACAAGAAACGGATGCCCCCAGGAGGCCCAGGGTGTTGAATAAGGGAACCGATGTCCCGGGGACAGAGTTAACTCCGTGGCAAAATGACTTTGCTTCTCAGATTCAGGAGACCCCAGGAGACTCAGGAGAATCTCTCTTCTGTTCTAAAGAAGCTAAGCACCAGATCAGGAGCTGAGAAGAGTTCTATTTCTAACCCAGTAGTTTTGGTTGAAGGTGACCAACCATCTCAGTTTGTCTGGCATTCAGGGGCTTCCGGGGACATGGGACCTTCACTGCTAAACCAGGTACCGTCTTGGGCAGACGAGGATGGTCGGTCACCCTCCTTGTGTCTTGGGCAATGGTAGGAGGACATGAAAGGTGCTGGAAACACCCCCTTTTCCACGGCCTTTGCTCAAGCAGAGCCAGTCTGGAGCAGCAGAGAGGGCTGCAGGCAGGTGTGGGAGCTGCCGAGTTCTTGCCTCTAATCACTGCCTTAGTGGGAAGTGACCTTGGAGAACCCCAGCCGGGGGACCTTCCTATAGATGCCCCATTCTGAAGCTGTTGGCTCTGGGGCTGGAGGGGACATGTTCCCCACCTAGTACAAGCTGCGTTCAAATTGTTAAGCACAAAGATATATTTACTTAGGGAACTTAAAAACATTTCATTTAAGTAAACAATTAAGCTCCTGGTTCTTTTTGGTTGTGGATACCTCCATTTCCTGGGGTCACCAAAGAATGACCCTTGCTGAACAGGCACCTCGATACCCACAGTGCTATGGATTGAATTATGTCCTTCAGAAAGCTATGCTAAGTCCGAAACCCTGATACCTGTGAACCTGACTTTGTTTGGATGTCTTCGGTTAACACGAGGTCACACTGAGTAGCGCGGGCCCTAGCCCCATCTGAATGGTATCCTTATAAAAGCGGGGAACAAACAGACACACAGAAGAAAGCAAGCCACACTGCATCTACACGCAGAGAAACACCTGGGGTTACCAGAAGTTGAGAGAGACAAAAAAGGATCTTCCCCTGGAGCCTTCGGAGAGAAGGCGGCCCTGTCACCCTTCTGAATTTGGACTTTCAGCCTCCGGAACTGGGAGACAATGAATTTCTGTTGGGTAAGCCACCCACTTTGTGGTATCTTGTCATAGCAGCCCTCAGAAACCAATATACACCACACGCTAGCTCCTGTCCTCATTTTTACAGAGAAGGAAATTGAGACTGTTTCTCCTCCCAGATTTCTTAGGGAATGACCAAAGATTAAAATCCTGAAAACCAGGGGCGTGGAGACAGACACAGCTGAGCTCGGGGTTAATCCTGTTTATCCTATTTCTTCGTCTTCCTTCCTTCCTTCCTCCTTCCCTCCCTCCCTCCCTTCCTCCCTTCCTTCCTTCCTCTTCCTTCTTCTTCCTTCCTTCCTCCCTCCCTCCCTTCCTTCCGTCCCCTTCCTTCCTTCTTTCCTTCCTTCCTCTTCCTTCCCCTTCCTTCCTTCCTTTCTCTCTCCCTCCCTCCCTTCCTTCCTTCCTCTTCCTTCCCCTTCCTTCCTTCCTCCTTCCCTCCCTCCCTTCCTTCTTCCCTTCCTCTTCCTTCCTCCTTCCCTCCCTCCATCCCTCCCTCCCATCCTCCCTTCCTCCCTCTTTCATTTCTTCCATCTTTCCATTTTTTGGAGAAAAAGCTTAAGGAACAAAAAGACTATAAACTGCCCCTGACTCTGGAGGACTTCCAGGTGGGCCACGCAGGGAACGGCTAGAAATGGAGGGAGATGAGAGAGAACGGTGTTACTGACAACCTCCCTCCCAGGCTCCTAACACTCGCGTCACAGACAACCCATCGAGGAAACTAAGGCTTCGTGGAGAAAAGAAAAAAACCCATGTTAGGGAAAGAGAGGTGGAGAGCGAACCTCTGGAGTCATTATAACTATCTTTATCCTTACCAGAAGGGAACTGTAAAGATGGCCTCCCAAGGGAAGACCATGGCAATGCCATTTTGCACATCTGAAATCACTGTTGATTGGAGTCGGCACTGTTAATTTCCGTTTATCATTCTGTGGCTACTAGACACTTGCCAGGCTCTGCGTTTGCTTGAGATGCTCATGAGGTGCCTTGCTGTCACAGCCACAGCATGGGAAGCAGCCGTGGCTTTGGGATTTGTGACTCCAAGCGCCGATGTCATTCTCAGGCTGCCCAGCTCCCAGCTTTCTCTAACGTCTCGTGGTCTTCCCCAGAGCTCATGGCCAAACCCTTCTCCTGCTGCCGGGCTAGTTGCTCTACCTCCCTTCTGCACGCCCAATCGCAGCTCCCTCTTTTTCTAATTGTCCTCCACAGAGGGACTGAAAAACCAAGACCAAACCTGTTGGCCGTCGGGTCGATCTCAACTCATAGCAACTCTCTAGGACAGAGTAGAACTGCCCCATAGGGTTTCCAAGGAGCAGCTGACGGATTCAGACTGCTAACCTTTTGTTTAATAGGCAAACGCTTAACCACTGTACCACCAGGGATGGGAAGCTGCATATGGGAACAGGAATTGTGCAAAGAGAGGGACATTTGAGATGGGGGTGGGACTTCTCCATGGTAATTTCCATCTGTGCTTCACAGGTCCATCAGGGGCTGGGAGATGGCCTGAGGGCGTGCTGGTATAGAGCCAAATTCTTCAGCAAGTGTGAAAAAAAAGCAGGAGGGTGTTTTTCTTGGCCTTAAAACCAAAATCAAACCTGTTGACGTTGAGTTGATGCTGACTTATAGCCACCCTATAGGACAGAGTAGAAGTGCCCCATAGGTTTTCCTAGGCTGTAATCTCAGCATAAAGAAAACAAAAATCCTCACAACTGGACCAATAAGCAACATCATGATAAACAGAGAAAAGACTGAAGTTGTCAAGGATTTCATTTTACTTGGATCCACAATCAATGCCCATGGAAGCGGCAGTCAGGAAATCAAACGACACATTGCATTGGGAAAATTTGTTGCAAAAGACCTCTTTAAAGTGTTAGAAAGCAAAGATGTCACTTTGAGGATTAAGGTGTGCCTGACCAAGCCATGGTATTTTCAGTCGCCTCATAGGCATGAAAAAGCTGAACAATGACGAAAGACTGAAGAAGAATTGATGCACTGGAATGATGGTGTTGGCGAAGAATACTGAATACACCATGGACGGCCAGAAGAACGAACACATCTGTCTTGGAAGAAGAACAGCCAGAATGCTCCTTAGAAGCGAGGATGGCAAGACTTCAACTCACATACTTTGGACGTGTTATCAGGAGGGACCAGTCCCTGGAGAAGGACATCATGCTTGGTAAAGGAGAGGGTCAGCGAGAAAGAGGAAGACCCTCAATGAGATGGACTGACACCGTGGCTGCAACAATGGGCTCAAGCATAACAACGATTGTGAGAATGGCCCAGGACGGGGCAACGTTTTGTTCTGTTACACACAGGGTCACTATGAGTCAGAACCAACTTGATAGCACCTAACAACAGCAGCAGACTGCCACATCTTTCTCCCGCAGAGCAGCTGGTGGGTTTGAACCGCTGACCTTTCAGTTAGCAGCTGAGCACGTAACCACTGCACCACCAGGGCTCCTTCTTCTTGGCCATATCTTTAACATTTTCTACCTGATTTTTAAAAAACATTTAAACTTTGCAGCAATAGGTTAGGAATTGGAGATTTAGCAAATATTTACTCAGTGCCTACGGTGTTCCACCAATGGAGGCAGCGGTGGTTCGGTGGTAGAATCCTTGCCTTCCGTGTGAGAGACTTGAGTTCAGTTCTCAGCCAAAGCACCTCATGCACAGCCACCACCCATCTGTCAGTGGAGGCTTGCGTGTTGCTATGATGCTGAGCAGGTTTCAGCAGAGCTTTCAGACTAAGACAGACGAGGAAGAAAGGCCTGGCGATCTACTTCTGAAAATCAGCCAGTAAAAACCCTGTGGCTCTCAACAGTCTGATCCACAACCAATCTTGGGGATGGTGCAGGCCTGGGCAGCATTGTGTTGCATTGTGCATGGGGTCGCCATGAGTTGGGGGCCGACTCAACAGCAGCTAACAATAACACTAAGCTCCAGGCTCTGAGGACAATCAGTGAGCAAAGTGGACACAGATCCCAGCCCTCATGCAGCTGCCATTCTAAGGGGCACAAGCTTCCCAGGCACTTAAGACCCAGTGACTCCCATTTGCAGAGAAGGAGGGTGCCCTGGTAGAACTCACCTCGACTCCTGTGTCCTGGGGCTGGGGCCCCGACTGGCTGGAGAGGGTGAAAACTTCTTGGGTGATACGGGCTGTTGGGAGGGTGGTGTTGGAGGACTCTCCCCCCATCCGGGCCCAAGGGAGGCATCCTTGGGAAGTGGGTCGTAGCTCCAGGCTGTGGGCTGCTGGTCGGGGGAGATGACCTGCTTCCCGTGCAGGGGCATCGGTGGCCCAAAGGGCCCCACACCCATGTAGTTGGGGTTAATGATCTCGGTGATGCTGGGGCCACTGCACAGAGGGGCCCTGTGGGGGAGACACATAGTCACACCCAGGGACCCCCTTCCCTTCTCGGGGTCAGGGGACGCCAAGCTGGGTCAGAGGACCATGTCCTCTGATGTCCCTTGGGGCCCCCAGGATTCTCCTCAACTCCTTCACTTCTTTGTGGACAGTGAGTTAGGCATTCATTTATTCACTCATTCATGCATTCATGCAACCAAATAGTTACTGAGGGTCTGGTAAGTACCAGGCCCTGGGTCAAGGGGGAATATGGTTGGGAATGCGGTAGCCACGGCCTCTGTTCTCACGGAACTCACTCTCCCTTAAGAGACACACAGAACGGACAAGCGCAGTGACGGAGACACGGTGTTTATGCTGAAGTCTGACTGAGAGAAACAAGAGAGACAGACTAACAGGAGGGCTGGCACCACTCGGGAACTGGGTGGCCAGGGAAGGTCTCTGTGACAAGTCCTGCGTGAAAAGAAGAAGGGAGGGAGAATGTTCTCGGCGGCAGTAGGAGTGAGAGCAAAGGCCCAGAGGTGAGAAGTGGCTTGGCTGTTCCAGGAAGTATGAAGGCCAGTGAGCCAGCGGGAGAGAGGTGAGTGGTCAGTGAGGTTGGCAGGGCCAGGTGACAGTGGGGAGTGGGCAAGGCTGGGTGTGGGGGATAGGAAGGAGCCTTGGGGTAGGGCCGGCGGGGAAGAGTGGCAAGTCCATGAGGGGCCCATCAGCATGCGTGTTTGGTCTGAGGCAACAGGATGGAGCTGGCCAGGCAGGTGGGGCTCCCAGAGAACAGGGCTGGGGCCTCGCCTGTTGGGTGTCAGCTCTAAACTGTCGGAGCACAGCTCAGGCCTGGGAGAGGGGACCCGAACAGCACACACTGTACTCAGACACACTGGGCAGCCCTCGGTGACCCCAGCGCCATCCGTGTTTGTCGGACAATGATCTCGTTAGAACTGACGAATGGACTTCTGATGGGGTATATGACAGTACACGCTATCAGGAATACTGCCTGGCTCCGAGCTGCTCAGCCAGCCTGCTTCTGAGCCATATCTCATGGCCACCTGGCGAGGCTAGCTTCCGAAGGAAATGGTGTTCTCATGCTGGTCAAAGGGGAGCATCTTTGTTTACCGACCCTTGTCCTGATTCTGGGACCAAGCAGATACGTTAGTGCTAGGATGCATTCGCGGACGAGAAATCGTGGAAGGATCGGGTCGACTCTTCAGTGGCCACGGCTGTGGTCATCAGCGGAGCTGGGATTGGACTAGGGAGGGAATGGGCTAGGGAGGGGAGTTCCTGGGTGCAAAGGGGTGAGGGCAGGTGAGGGTGAGGGCTGGAGGGGGAAGCAGTGAAGGGACAGAAAGGAAGAAAGGAGTAAGCTGTGCTCTGTAGCCTGCTACTGGAGTACCGACTCGGCGAGCTCTGCACAGCTCTGCCCCCTCAGCAGGTATGCCGACCCTGCTAAACTCGCTGCCTCGATTCTGGAACTTGAGACCAACCACATCAGTGAGGTGAAGCCACCCTGCTTTTGGGGACTGCTGTCCCCAAATAGGAGTCCTTGGGTGGTGCAAATGGTTAATGTACTCATCTACTAACCAAAAGGCTAGAGGTTCAAGACCACCCAGAGGTCCCTTGGAAGAAAGGTCTGGCAATCTACATCTGAAAAATCAACCATTGAAAACCCTATGGAGCACAGTTCTACTCTGGCACCCATAGGGTCACCATAAATCAGAGTCGACTCAACTACAGCTGGTTTCCTGGTCCCCTAGTAACATGGGCTTCAGTGTCCTGGTTGGTCCCAGTTCAGTCTGCCAAGAGCAACTGGAATGGATTTTCCTGGCTGTTTTTCCCCCATTAGTAACACAGTGCAGCTTGCTGGCCACCGAGCCCACGGCTGCTGATGTCCCCAGTCCCACAGAGACACAGCAGCCACTTCTTGACTAGGAATCCTTGCAGCCATCTGTAGTCGCCTCTTTCTGGACGGCACACCTTTCTACTAGGCAGTGAGGTCGTAAAGCAGGGATGGCATCTTGTTTCTTTAGTTTCTCTAGAACCTGGCACATAGTAGGTGCTCAGTAAATGTGAGCTGACCTGAACTGAACGTTCCGACAGAGAAGAGTCTCCCAGGCTTCGCCATAGTCATACTACCCTCCCAAGAAACCAGGGTTTGTTGTCAGAGACACTCAGAGCTTAAAGCAGGTGGCCTCCTCTTGGGCGCCAGAGGCTCCTTCTTCTTCCCTGTCCTGGTGTCTCTGGGCTCCACTTACCTCCTCCTGGGCCCTGCATACACAAAGCAATGCTATCTTTTAGTGGGTCTCTGGTAAACCCCACTACTCTACCTGTTGGTGGGTTCCCACAGCTTCATGGGGTCATGGCTGGTGAAGCTCTTCAGAGACTTGGGCCCGCTGGACTCATCCCGCTCCGTCTTCACGAAGTCTGGAAAGAAAGGATCAGGAAAGAGGATTTGAGGGCCCAGCCCCCAGGTCTTAGACCAGGGATGGCAAAAGGTTTCCATTTGCATGCTGAAGCTGGCCAATGAGTAGTGGCTGCCTGAAGAGCTGGGCTAAGCAAGATTCAGAGGCCTCATGTGGGCTCATAAGAGTTCTGTGATTGATTAGTTATGCCTGCCACTGGCTCAGAGCAGAGGAGTTGGCACGTGTAACCCAGACCTGTCATTCCTTGTAAGGTCTCCAGCTTGTTGGTCTCAATAAAAGGCAAAACAGGCAATGTTTTTTGCCAGATCAGATGTAAACAAACATAAAAGGTGTCTCCGCAAGAGCATTGGTACCCAAAGCCAATGTATTTGTAGGGCTTAAAGGGGAGCTGGGACCTCCACCTTCATTTCCAACTCTGATTTGTAGTCGCAAAGGTGCTGAGTCCCCATCACCCCACCCACTGCCCTGCTAGAGGAAGGACCTCTCACGGGGCAGAAGGGGGGGCCACATTCCCTGGAGGCAGCACCCCTTGGTGGGCCGAGCTGTGGCTGGTGTAGGGATGCCAGACGTCCACACGTACTGAGTTCTGCTCTCTCACTATTCATGTTAGAGGCAGGAACGTTTAGGAATTCTGGCTTGATGAACATGGACTATTCATCAACTGAATGATGAATCTTGGCCTAGCTGCTTACTGCCTATGTGACCTTCAGCCATTCACTTAGCTGCTCTGTGCCTCAGTTTCCCCTTCTATAAAACAAAGATGACAACACTGGCTCACGGGCTGTTGTGAGAGATAAGTGAGATAACATTCATAAGGTGACCGTTCATACATCATCAGTTACATAGTAAAAGCCCAATTCATTGCAGGCAGTGTTGCTATTTGAGTGCTTCTGAACAAGAATTAAAGTGAAGAGTAAAAGGAGAAAAACTCACCTGTTGCCTGTGTGAAAAGGAAGAAATGCTTGATTTACAAATCTTTGACCTGCTCCCTACCTCTCAAATCTTTTATTATTTCAAGCAGAGAGGTTTTAACGTAATGGATACTACTGAGAAGTATAAATGTAATTTCCAAGTTTCACAATTATAGGCAGGATTAAGAGAACATTCTAAATTCAGATCTAGACACTTCTTTGTGTTTGCACTGTTATTAGGGTCTCTTGGTCACATTTTAATATTCTCATAACTGAACAGTGATTATTCTGATCTCAGAGATAAGGCACCTGTGCTCTTCTAATAAGAATCAGCAGGTTCTCCTTTGGGGACAGACGGGGGTGACCCTCCGAGGCTGGCCTTTCAGTTGGGGCTAGGAAATGCCTGAGATGAGTTTGTGTCCCCAAGCTCAGCTTCTGGATGTCCTTTCTGAGAGCCATGATAAATGGATTTCCCAGCGGCTAACCAAAGTAAGCAAGTGGCATGTGACAGAACAAAGAGTTGAGTTCAAGTTGAAATGGTGGGCTAGGAAACCTTGCCAGGAAAGAAGAGACCATAACATGCTGCCATTTTGGAGGGTGGCTGGGGCCAGGGTAGGCACAAGCCAAAGAAATGTACTAAGGATGAGGACTGGGGCTTCTCGATGTATATGGTGGACGAAAGAAATCTGGAAGGTCCAGAACCTTGGGTGGGTACCATAGGAATGAATGCAGGTACATACGAGGGCATGTATTTATCTATGAGTGCATACCATATGACCACAGGCAAGAAGAGAGATCACATGGGAAATCCTAAATCCCAACTGTAGCCAGTAGCCTTAGCCTCTTCCCCCAGCAGCCTGTAAAGAGTTATTCAGTATTAGGTGGGTTATTCTGTAATCTTGGTCTCTAACAGAGAGTGATAAAGCCTACAAGACTGGCATAAGGTGAGAGAAAGGGAGCTGGAAAATTCATAAACTTCACGTCTTTAAAGATGCAAGTTGAGTGGGGTCGGGGAAGGGTGAGCTGTGGCTGCTGGGTGTTGGGGTTCTGTCGGAGAATTCTTGAATCAGGTGAGAGTTGGGCCAGATTGCCTCTTAGATCCTTTCCAATGCTGGAATTCTATCTTGAGGCCCCAGTAAAGAGAATATTCAGTGGTTTCACTCCCTGTCCCACTGGGATGGAGAAGGACCTGAGGAGTGGTTGTCTTACCGTAGAGCTTCTCTCTCGTCTTGCCTTCGGATGTCTGCAGCTTAATCTCCCCCTGGAAATGTCCCATCATCTCTCCGTGGTGGGTGAGAGGCGTGTAGATGGGGAACTGGGTTTCCTTGGCCTCTAACCGTAGGGCAATGCAGCCCTCGCCTGGCAGGGAAAGGCGACAACAGTGTGATGGTTAATTTTCAGTGTCAACTTGGCTAGGCTATGGTGCCCAGTGGTTTGGCCAAACACTAGTCTAGTTGCTGTCATGGAGTAGTGGTTGTTGTTGCTAGTTGCCATTGGGTTGGCTCCAACTCATGGCAACCTTATGTGTAACAGACGGAAATGTCTCCTGGTCCAACGCCATTTTCATGATTATTGGTATATTTGAGTCCATTGTTGCAGCTATTATAGAATAGTTACATGTGATTAAATCAGTTGGCCTTGGGTAGAGTGGACTACCATAACGTAACCAGTCACGTGGTATCATCAATCAATCAGTTAAAAAAGGAGTTCCTGATGTGTGTTCTGCCTTTAAACTACAGATATTTTGGTAGCACGCCCAGAACTCTCTGCTGTACACTCTTCCCGTCACCTGACCCATGGATCTTGGACTTGCCAGTCCCTGCAACTGCATGAACCAGGTCCTTGAATTCCATCTCTATCTCTACATTGATATATCTCACTGCTTCTGTTTCTCTAGCGAAACCAGACTAAGGCAAACAATCACGTTAAGACTCTATCACTTCACGGGAGAATTGCCATGCATTTGTCCTGGGGATCTAGCTCAAGACCCCAAGACAGTCCTCCAAAACAATGGCCAAGGCAAAGATTATCTCATAAATCTTTTAGAACAACTTCTCAACGATTTGGGGAACATACCTCAAACCTTACAGCAAAATGAACTCCACGTGGGTTAGTCAATGTGGGAAAAAAAAATTAAATCACAGAAAAACAGAATTGAATACTAATCTGATTGCTGTAGGGGAGGATACCTTCCCAGGGTTTGAAGCGATGCAAGAGATGACAAAAGAAGATTGACAGATTTGACAATATAAAAGTTTTAAACTTCTGCACAAAGAAAAAGTGGAAACATAAAAGGAAACTGGCAGGTAGCAGGATCTGCAGCCAGCTCTGCAGCCAAGTGGGGATCTGATCTGAACTCAATGAGGAGCACCTCAAAGTCAAATCCCTAGCAGATATATGGACAGATGATATAAACCGACATTTCACACAAAGAGACACATAACTGGTTAATTTCGGTAAATGGGAAATGGTCCAGCCTCTTTGACCATCAAAAATGCAAATTAAGAAAGCACAAGGCACTCTTTTACAGACATGAAATTAGCACAAAGGGAAGGGGAAAAAAAGATAATACCCAAGAGAGTAAAAAGACCAGTAGTTGCCAGGGGCTCAAGGGGAGGGAGAGGGATGAACACGTGGAGCACAGGGCATTTTGGGGGCAGTGAAACTATTTTCCATGAATCTGTGATAGTGGATACATGACATTATGCATTTGTCAAAACCCATAATGTAAACTATGGCCTTCAATTAATAATAAACCAGTTGCCGTGGAGTTGATTGCTACTCATAGTGACCCTACAGGATGGAGTAGAACTGCCCCATAGGGTTTCCAAGGAGCGATTAGTGGATTTGAACTGCCAACCTTTTGGTTAGCAACCGAGCTCTTACCCACAGGGCCCCTCAGTTAATGATAATGTACCGATATTAGTTCATCAATTATAACAAATGTAAGATATTAATTTCCATTTTACCTGGATTAACAATCAACGTCCATGGAAGCAGCAGTCAAGAAATCAAATGAGATATTGCATTGGGCAAATCTGCTGCAGAAGATCTCAACTGGTTTTATAAAGCAAAGATATTACTTTAATGACTAAGGTGTGTCTGACCCAAGCCATGGTCTTTGCAATTGCCTCATATGCATGTGAAAGCTGGACAATGAAAAAGGAAGACAGAAGAAGAATGAATACATTTGAGCTGTGGTGTTGTTGAGGAATATTGAATATGCTGTGGACTACCAGAAGAACAAACAAATCAGTCTTAGGAGAAATACAACCAGAACGCTCCTTAGAAGTGAGGACAGTGAGATTTCGGCTCGCTGACTTTGGACATATGATCAGAAAAGACCAATCACTAGAAAAGGACATCATGGTTGATAAAGTAGAGGGCCAGCAAAAATGAGGGAAAGCTTCAGGGAGATGAATTGACACAATAGCCACAACAATGGACTCAAACACACCACTGATCATGACGATGGGGCGGAACCAGATAATGTTTTTTCTGTTATTTATACATAAGGTCGCCATGAATCGGAGCCAACTCAATGGCAACCAACAACAATAATAACAGCAAAAAGATATAAATAAGAGGAGAAACTGTATATGTGGGAAGGGGAAGAGGGGGTATATGGGAAGTCTCTATACTTTCTGAGCAATTTTTCTATAAACCTAAAATTGTGCTAAAAAATTAAGTGTATTAAAAAAATAAAAGATAATACTCGGTGCAAGCAAAGACATGGGGAAACCTATCCACATGGAGATTGCAAGGCCAGCTAATACAGCCTTTGATGAGTACTAAGAATCACAAGGAGCCCTGGTGGGAAAGTCGTTAAGAGCTCTATTGCTAACCGAAAGGTCGGCAGTTCGAATCCACCAGCTGCTCCTTGGAAACCCTGTGGGTCAGTTCTACTCTGTTCTATAGGGTCGCTAGGAGTCAGAATCCACTCGACAGCAATGGGTTTGGTTTTTTTTGGTAAGGGTCGCAAACATACCCTTTGATCCAGCAAACACAGGAATGTATTCTAAAGAAATAATTGAAAAGACAAAAAACGTAGCTGAAAAAGAATAAAAAATGTCCACGGAGACGGTTCATCACAGCACTATTGATAACATTAACAAAATAACTGGCAGAGACTCAATAACAGTAATAAGGGAATACATTTTCTCATGAGGTTACAGGAAATCTGTGGAATAGTATGCAGCCGTTAAACATGACCATTATGAAGGCTGTGTATGAGGAACATTGAAAATGCTTATTATCTAATATTAGGTGAAGAAAGAAAAATATAAAGTAGTATCTCTGTGGTGTTATTGTTGTTAGGTCCTGTCCAGTCGATTTCGACTCATAGCGACCCCAAGTGACAGAGCAGAACTGTCCCCTAGAGTTTTCTAGGCTGTAATCTTTACAGGAGCAGATCACCAGGTCTTTCTCCCTTGGAGCTTCTGGGTGTGTTCAAACTGCCAGCCTTTCAGTAGCAGCCGAGCGTTTAATCGTTTTGCCACCAGGGCTCCTTTCTGTGATGTTATAAATATGAAAATACATGTATCATATGTATGAGGATGGAAATATGAAACTAAAAAACGCTTGCTGTGTTGGGGGACCAGATTATCAGTTGACTTTTTTGCTTTTTATTATGATGATGTGCTGTTTGTGAAGATGAGTATCAAGAGGAGGAAACAAAGAAGGGATAAATACCTGAACAAGAAAATGGAACCCGTTAGACCTATACTTCCTGTTTCCTGCCACCACACCTTCAAACATCCTTACGTCCTTGCGGATCCTTTCTTCTTGCCCGTCACGATGGACGAGATGCCTGAGCCACAGCCAGCATGCACTTCAGGCCCTGGCTCAGGGACCCTCGCTTACCTGGGGTCTTTTCTCTCACCTGGGCTGCACTGGGAGGAGGCTAAGAGCATGGATTCTGGGGCTTGGCTGCCTGGGTTCACACCCAAGGTAGCACAGTTACCTTAGACAAGTTGTCTAGTAGCTGTGTGACTGTGGGCAAGTCACCTCACCTCTCTGAGCCTCGGTTTCCTCATCTACTAATTGGGAGAGCAGTATCTGCCTCATAAAGTTGTTGTCAGGACTAAATAAAGTAATACCTGCAAGGCACTCAGCATAGAGTCTGACACAGGAAAGGCTCAGGACATGGGAGGCACGAGGCTGCTGAATAACACCTATAATCCTGTTATACTCCCCAAGAGCCGATGGGGCAGGAGGGTGACCTATGGTAACTGTCACTCTGGCATCCCTGGATGGGTGACGAGAGGTGGGGCAGGAGCAGGGCGGAGAGTGGCAGGTGGGCTTTCCATGAAGGAGATGTCACTGCCTCCCTCACATGAGAGGTCGCCTAGCGAACAAGTGGGAAGCGCACCTGTTGACACCTGTCCCAGGACCCTTACCGTAGGATTCGTCACTGTCAGAGGACTTAATGCTGATCAGGATGTGCTGGTCCAGCAGGTATTCCGGGTCAGAGATAATGGGCTTCAGCTGCAGGGAGAAGGCCAAGATTAGAGTGGACAGGTACAGGACAGGTAAGGGAACAGGTGGGTGGACAAGTGGATGAGGGTCACCAGCCCAGATATGGGGAATGCTTGAGAAAACAGGACTGTAGGTGTTCTTATTCACCTGATTTCAATCTCTGGTCTTGATGCCCAAGACAGCAGGAAGGATCCCATATGTACACCTACCCAGCAAGGCAGGGGCTAACTTCCTTCCCTGTCCCCCGCCATCACACTGCATCCCAGGCCACCTAAACTGGGCTCTGCGGGCCCAGGGCCTGGTGAAATGGCCTGACCCCAAATCTGCCCCCACCTCCCTTGTCTCCCTCCTCCTCCTTTGCATATCCATAATCAGGATGGTGGGGAGTGGGGGCTGGCTGATAGGCAAATGGTGGGATCAGGAGCCAGGTCTTGGGTAACCCCTGCAGGAAGATGGCTCAGCACCCTGCACCCCACTCCCTCCTTGGTCACTCCCCAGGACTGCTCCCCATCTGGGAAGGATAGGGGCTCGGTGCTGGATCCTCAGCAGAGCCCCCAGTCTGGCCTGGAGAGTTCTCTCTCTCTGCTAGGAAGCGCTGGCTCCTGCTGGCCAGGCTTTGAATGCTGGTGGCTGAACCACGAGCCTGGTGGGTGCAGCGCTGTGTCTGTGCAGGGGCAGGGGGAGCTGGTCGGCCAGCCTGGGCTTTATTCTGCGCACTAGTGCCTACATGCTGGCTACAATTTAGGATATTTTCACAATTTAGGGCTTGTTATGGATTGAGTTATGTCCTCCCATATATGTCTTGTAAATCCTAACCTCTGTGCCTGGGGTTATAATCCCATTTGGGAATGTGTTGTCTTTGTTATGTTAATGAGGCAGGATTAGTATAGGGTGTATCTTGAGTCAATCTCTTCTGAGACATAAAGAGAAAAAACGCAAGCTAGCAAGAGAGACGGGGGAAGACAGATGCCAAGACACATGGAGATCGCCAAGGAACCAGGATGCAGAAGCTGAAGAGACAAGGACCTTTCTCCAGAGTCAGCAGAGAGAGAAAGGCTTTCCCCTCAAACTGGCGCTCTAAATTTGGACTTCTAGACTCCTAAACTTTGAGAAAATAGACTTCTGTTTGTTCCACTTGTAGTATTTCTGTTATAACAGCACTAGATAACTAAGACAGAACTGTTCTTCACAATGACTCCGAGGGGGCCTGAAAAAAAAGATGAACACCTCTCTGGGCTGTCCCCTTCCTTCCCTTCCAAATACCGAGAGGCCCCTCATGCTTTCTCCCTGGGCCCCATGTTGACCAACAGAATGGACTCTCCACATCTCCATTCAGAAAGTTCCAGAACAAATGACTAGAAATTGCAGCGGGTGCTCTGGGGCATTCTGGTGTTCCAGGGCCGCGCCAACCACTCAGGTCACTGACACGTAGTGAGAGCCGGCTCCGAGTTAGACCCAGGCCAGGGGCCGGGGAGAAGCCTGCCCTCCTGGGTAGCAGTGGGTGGCAGCTATCTGAACAAACAGTGCCTGTGAGGGACTGGTCCACCTTGGTGGGGGCAGCAGGGAGGGAGACTCTAGGCCCTGGGGCAGGAAGAGAGAGGAGGTTGTCAGGTGACACAGAGAAGATAGAGTGTCAGAAAAAGATGGGACTGGAGACCAAGGTGGGTTCTAGGGGCCTAAGCTGAGGAGCTTGGACTTGTCCCTCTTGGCACCAAGAACCTGACCAGAAAAAAGGGGGGATGCCAGGATCAGATGGGCATTCCAGAAAGTTCAGCCAGGCTTCAGGACACCTTGCTGAGGAGGGCTGTCGAGCTGACTGTGATTCATGGTGACCCCATGTGTGTCAGAGTAGAACTGTGCTCCATAGGGTTTTTCATGGCTGATTTTTCACAAGTAGATCCTCAGGCCTTTCTTCCGAGGTGCCTCTGGGTGGACTTGAACCTCTAACCTTGTGGTTAGCAGCGGAGCACATTAACCGTTTGCACCACCCAGGACTCCCTTGTCTGTGGGGTTCCCACTCCCTCTGGTTGGGGCTGGCCGCCGTCTACCATTGGTGGTACTGCTGGCCTGCTGGGCACAAACTCTCTGCGGAACATCCTCTTGGTGAGTTACCTTTGGAAGGGTCTCGCCAAACTTCACCAACAACTCTCCTTCGCTTCCTTCTTCGTTTTCTCCTTCCTGACTCTTGACAAAGCCTGTCAGACAACAAGAAGGCTGGTTTTCAGAAAACTGAGCTAGAACGAGGCAGAAACGACCCCTGGGCCAATGAGGATACTCCCCCTCCATTTGTATCTTTAGAAGCCTCAGCATCATTTAGGAAGTCAGGGTCATGGGGGATTCTGCTTTTGCAGAGGGGACGGTCATCCAACAACACACTCTAATTATTTTTAGGAAAACCAGAGAGATTCCCCCCCTTTCCGGCTCCTCTTTGCCACAAACCAGGCAACCAAGAAATCATTGCATCCCAAGCAAGAGGATTAAGGGAACATGACAATCCATCCCACGCCACTCAACACAGCACCCTTTGAAATTCTAATTTAAGCTTCCTAATATGCTGTTTCCATAGAAATGTATGCAAATGTCTCGAGGGTTTATAAAAAACACCCGCACAAAACCCTCATCATTTCTGGAATGGCTTTGACCCTGCTCTGTGGACTGGGACTCGGGGACTTTGTGGAGGGGGCTGTTCTGTCATCAGGATGGAGCGAAGGCTCTGTCTGAGAGGGAAGGGCGGGGGCGGGGAGGCACACAGCCAGCAGTGCCCGCCATCTTCCTGACTTCTGGAAGCTTCCCAAACGTCCCCTCATAAAATGCCTCCTTTCGTGGAGCTGAGTTTTCCCCCACTTTCTGGACCATCTCAGCAAGGAGAAGTAGAAACCACACAGATCTTCTCTTGCCATGAAACAGCTTTAGACAATATGCCTGAAATGTCACCCAGAAAGGGTGTTTTCCCAAACACAGTTTGTGCTGACGGCTGCTGGCTGAGAGGCGGCTGCCGATCTTCAACTTGCTTTCGGAGGCCCCAGACCACCTGAGAAAGATGCCCATGATGGTGGGAAAGAGCATGGGGAGCCAGGGGGAGAATAAGGGGTAGCCAGCAGCTGGTCAGGCCCCAGTGCAGGCCTCTGTAAGTTCCGGAACTTTCCTCAGGACCCTCTGGTTGAGTCAGAGCCCCGGCTTGGGGGAACTCTCAAGTGGGTTAAAGTCTGCACACAGGGGCCAGGGAGAGGTTCCAACTGGCTCCATCACCTACACAGTGCTGAGGGTCATTAGATCATGACTAGATTAATGAGTGCCTGTGCCTCCAGTACTGGAGGGGCAGTACCACAGGACACAGTGGTACCACCCCCTCACAGTAACCAAGTGTCTTCTTGTACCCTCCATCTGTGATTCCCACCGAGGTCCACGTTTGAGCACCTTACACAGAGAGGAGAAATGGGGAAAAGGACCATGTATGAAAAAGTTTGTATGAAAAAGAGCCGTGGCCCGCCCCAAACAAAAGGTAGCTCAAAAATCACTTACTCTCCAAGCAGCTGGAGTGGAACTCAAGGTAGAATTTGGTCTGGGACTTGGTCTTCAACGTGGCGTAGCAGCTGAGAAACTCAATTTGCCCTTGGCTGTCCACAGTCCCAGGGCCTAGAACAGGTGAGAACAGGCATGCAACCCCACAACGTGCCTGGAGATGGCGCCCTTCAAACCAGCCTCCCAACTATGAGCTCCTGAGGGCCCAAGGAAGGCCAGTGTCCAGGTGGGAGGAAAGGTTTTCCTCAAGGTAAAGCTACAACCTGCCAACTGCACTGAATCCCTTGACAAGGGTTACGGCCTCTCTGATGACACATGGGCTGGCAATGGTGGAGAGCAGAGCCAAAGGAGGGAGGAGCTCAAGGGTTGAGAGACCTAGGGTTTACTCTGAGCTTTGCCACTAAACTTCATGGCCTCACGTGATGCCCTTAGCCTCACTGCCTCAGTCTCCCCATTAGTTCCTACAAAGAGAGTTTGTATAATGGCTCAGTTGCTCCATCTCCAAGTCTATTCAGATCTGAGCTGAGGTAATGAGGGATCCCTCTTTCTTCCTCAGGCACAGCTACCCCATCCCTTACTCTGGGCTCCTTATACTCATTTACACTCAGTTAACTTGCTCATAATCTGCGTTAGTTTAGATAAAGCTTTTGCAGAGTCCTTAAGCTGTTTTTGAACAAGTGTTCTGTCCTTCCATATAAATTCTGAGCCACTGAGAGTGGGGACAAACATTTCTTTCCTTCTTCCCTCCCATCCTGCCTTCTTTCTTTTCTTTTTTAAACCCCACAGCACCAAAGTTGTGCTTAGGTAGACTTTCAATCAATGTTCAACCCAGGTAATCAGTATTTTTGAACATCTACTATGTATGGGCGCCCTGGTGGCGCAGTGGTTAAGCGTTTGGCTACTAACCAAAAGGTCAGCAGTTCAATCCACCAGCCACTCCTTGGAGATCCTATGGGGCAGTTCTACTCTATCCTAAAGGGTTGCTATGAGTCAGAGTTGACTCGACGACAATGGGATTGGGTTTGGTTTTACTATGTATGACTCTCACTCCCAATGGAGGAAGCCAAGCTTGATCCCAAGGACAATCGACCCAGTAATAGAGGGTAAGATGGCATGTTCTACCCCATCATGCTGCAGGAACTCAGAGAAAGGGGAGATGGTGGAACCTAACGGCTACGAAGGTTCTGGAAAGGCACAGTGACCAGAGCTAGGTGGGACACAAGATGGTAGGTCTAGGCCTGGCTGGAGAGGTGAGGTCACACTGCCAGGCTCTTGGACATTGGACCTAACAGTTAGAGAAGAATGCCCCAGAAGGGCAGTGTTCCACTTCGCCTATGTCCCTCCTGGCAGAGCGAAGGACACACAGTGAGACCATCTTCTCACCTGTGTTTGGTACCCCACGCTCAGCCTTCCTCTAACCACAGAAGAGGGGGTAGGCAGAGGAGGCGGCAACATTGCTCCTCAGTTAGCCAGGCCCAGAGCTGGACACGCTTCAGAGAATGTTCCGGGCCCCTGTTGGGACAAGGTGGCCTGGTGGCCAGGGCTGGCCTGGATTATTTGAGAAATTGCCTGCAAACCTGAGTATTATTTACTGAAGTGTTTCCTAAAACTCAGTCATCTGCTTCCCATCTTCACCATATTTACCATCTCCAACTACCACGCACCTGTACTAATATTTACTTAATGTTTTCTTTAAATAGACTCACTTTTTAAATTTAAATATATGTATTTCAACAAGAAAGTATATCACAAAACTAAATGGAAAACCAATGTTGTTTCCCTTACACAGAAGAGACAAATTTAAAACATACCAAAAAAAAAAAAAAAAATGCGTTACTTATAAGTGTTCATCCACCTCCCACCCAAAACTGTCTTTGGTTGTACATGTACCACACCTGGGGGAACAGAGACTAACTCAATTTTTCAGACTATACTAAAACCGAGGATCAAAAAGCTGACATATTTGTCACACAGAGCAATTAAGTCCTCTAAACGAAACTCGTGATGTGGCTTGGACATGAAGAGGCCCGACTGATGGACTGTGGGCTTGTCCAGAAGGATGAGACTTCATCTAAAGCAGACAACCAATTACTGCAGCTCAAAGTTGAGTGCCCAAGGCCTCCTATCTTCGTGGAGGAGGGGGAAACAGATCCAGCCAACAACTCACCGTTCTTGGAGACAAACTGGGAGGTGACTCCTGCCTCAAACGTGGCAAAGACAGGGCTGTGGTCACTCGTCATAATGTCGCTGGTACTGCCTGTAGGGGAGGGAAGGCATCTCTGAGCTGAAGGTGGCAAAGCCATGGAAGCACTAAGCTTACATTTCTAGAGCCCTCCCATGGGGTCAGGGTTTCACACTGGCTATCTCATTGACTGTACAACCTGGCTTAAAAGGCTCAGTGAAAGACAACGTGGGACCCTGTCTCCTCATGGATAGAATGTGCTTGTGTCAGTTTTTCCTAAAGACTCGCAGAAATTTGAATCAATCATGGAGTGTGAACCATGGAGAATTTTCTGGTCTAATTGCTTTATTTGATTGATGAGGAGCCCAAGGCCCAGAGTGGCAAGGAGACTTAAGGTCACTCAGCTTATCAGTGAGAGAGACAGGGCACCTTCCCCCACTCCACAAGGCCTCAGGGCCAGGCGAGAGTGGGAGTGAAGTGTAGACACTGAGTGTAGACAAGTTGTTTAAGGAGCTTGGAGCTTGGAGGAGAAGGGAAGGCAGCGGAGCATGTCTGGGGGATAAGAGAAGGAGCACTATTCTAGAAATCCTGAATTCTTCTGAGATAGCTGGGAGGAGTTCTCTCGCAGGAAACTGGGTATTCAGAGCTGGGGATAAAGATTTGAAGTCATGAGATTAGGTGGAAACTGAGGCCAGGAGAATGTGTGGGATCCATGGGAAAGACAGGAAGGATAAGAAGGGATGAGGGTGGAGGATGAAGTTCCAGGACACACCAGCCTTTAATGGGCAGGCAAAGGAAATACAGCACACAAAATGAAGAAGGCATTAAAACAGAGCTGATTATCCTTCTCTAGAAGGCTTTGACAGATCAACAAGAAAAAGACAAACACCTCACCCTTCAAACAACCAAAGGATATGAGCAGAAAATTTACAAAAGAAATACAGAAAAAAATGCCCACTGGCTGATGGCTACCAGAAAGGTCAATGGAAACAACAACGAGACAGAATGGAGAAGAGACTGACTTGAGAAGGAAGAGCGATGAGACACTGGTACTGGGAGAGATGGAAGGAGGAGGAGTCAGGCTCCAGGCAACAGATAAGCCAAGAAAGAAGGGCACCCTTCTCAGAGATAGGAGGGAAGAAGGTGGAGAGAACGTCACCCTAAAAAGCGTTTGGAAGAGGGTAGGAAGAAGTCAGGGAGGGTTCAGTGCTGTGTGAAGCAGGAGGGGTGGAGGTAAGGGTGCTGGTTGAGTGGAGGGCACAGGTTTGTGATGACAATGAAAGAGACTGTTCCAGGGTGTTATGGATTGAATTGTGTCCACCCAAAATATGTATTGAAATCCTGTTCCCTAAACCTGTAAATCCACCACTCGTCTGTCAGTTTGTCGGAATGTGGTGGCTTGCATGTTGCTGTGATGTTGGAAGTTATGCCACTGGTATTTCAAACACCAGCAGGGTCCTCTATGGTGGACAGGTTTCAGTGGAGCTTCCAGACTAAGACACACTGGGAAGAAGGACCCGGTGATCTACTTCTGAAAATACTGGCCAGTGAAAACCTTATGAGTAACAGTGGAACATTGTCTGTTATGGTCCCGGAAGATGAGCCCCTCAGGATGGACGGCACTCAAAGACGACTAGGGAGGAGCTGCCTCCTCAAAGTAGAGTTGACCTATGACCTGGATGGAGTCAAGTTTTCGGGACCTTCATTTGCTGATGTGGCACAACTCAAAATGAGAATAAACCGCTGCAAACATCCATTAATAATCTGAACCAGGAATGTATGAAGTATGAACCTAGGAAAATTGGAAGTTATCAAAAATGAAATAGACTGCATAAAGATCAATATCCTAGGCGTTACTGAGCTGAAGTAGACTGGTATTAGCCACTTCAACAATCACATGGTCTACTATGCTGGGAATGACAAATTGAAGAGGGATGGCATCACATTCATCGTCAAAAAGAACATTTCAAGATCTATCCTGAAGTACAACTCTGTCAGTGATAGGATAATATCCATGCACCTACAAGGAAAAGCAGTTAATACAGCTATTATTCAAATTTACTCACCAACCACTAAGGCCGAAGATGAAGAAATCAAAGGTTTTTAGCAACTTCTGCAGTCTGAAATTAATCAAACACGCAATCAAGATGCACTGATAATTACTGGTGATTGGAATGTGAAAGTTGGAAACAAAAAAGAAGGATTGGTAGTTGGAAATTTTAGCCTTGTTGATAGAAACGATGCCAGAGATAGCATTACAGAATTTTGTAAGACCAACGACTTATTCTTTGCAAATACCTTTTTTAACAACATAAACGGCAACGATATACTCAGACCTTGCCGGATGAAATACACAGGAATCAAATCGACTACAACTGAAGTCAGTCAGAACAAGGCCAGGGGCCGACTGTGGAACAGAGCATCAATTGCTCATATGAAAGTTCAAGCTGAAGCTAAAGAAAATTAGAGCAGGTCCACAAGAACCTAAGTACGGCCCTGAGTATATCCCACTTGAATTTAGAGACCTTCTCAAGAATAGATTTGATGTATTCAACACCAATAGCCGAAGACCAGATGGGTCATGGAATGACATCAGGTACATCATACATGAAGAAAGCAAAGGTCATTAAAAAGACAGAAAAGAAAGAAAAGACCAAAATGGATGTCAGAAGAGACTCTGAAATTGCTCTTGAATGCAGAGTAGCTAAAGTGAACAGAAGAAATGAAGTAAGAGAGCTGAACAGAAGATTTCAAAGGGCAGCTCGAGAAAACAAAGTAAAGGATTATAATGAAACGTGCAAAGAGCTGGAGTTAGAAAACCAAAAGGGAAGAACACACTCTGCATTTCTCAAGCTGGAAGAACTGAAGAAAAAATTCAAGCCTCGAGTTGCAATATTGAAGCATTCTTTGGGCAAAAAACTGAACGATGCAGGAAGCATCAAAAGAAGATGGAAGGAATACACAGTCATTGTATAAAAAAAAATTGGTTGATGTGAGGTAGCATATGATCAAGAACCAGTGGTACTGAAGGAAGAAGTCCAAGCTGCACTGAAGGTATTGGTGAAAATATTAGTGAAATACCAATTGAAATGTTTCAACAAACAGATGCAGCGCTGGGGGTGCTTGCTTCTCTATGTCAAGAAATTTGGAAGACAGTTTCCTGGCCAACTGACTGGAAGAGATCCATATTTGTGCCCATTCCAAAGAAAAGTGATCCAAAAGAATACGGAAGTTATCAAACAATATCATGAATATCACATCAAGTAAATTAAAAAATGGTTGCAGCAGTACATCGACAGGGAACTGACAGGAATTCAAGCTGGATTCAAAAGAAGACGTGGAACAAGGGCTATCATTGCTGATGTCGGATGGATCTTGGCTGAAAGCAGGGAATACCAGGAAGATGTTTACCTGTGTTTTATTGACTATGCAAAAGCATTTGACTGTGTGGATCTGTCGTGGATTGAATTGTGTCCCCCCCAAAATTTGTGTATCAATTTGGCTAGGCCATGATTCTCAGTACTGTGTGATTGTCCACCATGTTGTCATATGATGTGATTTTCCTATGTGTTGTAAATCTTACCTCTATGATGTTGATGAGGTGGGATAGGCAGCAGTCATGTTAATGAGGCAGGACTCAAATGACAAGATTGGATTGTGTCTTGAGCCAATCTCTTTGGAGATATAAAAGAGAGAAGCAAGCGGGGTGGGGGGACCTCATACCACCAAGAAAGCAGCGTCGGGAGCAGAGCGTGTCCTTTGGACCTGGGTTTCTTGCGCAGAGAAGCCCCTAGTCTAGGGGAAGATTGATGACAAGGACCTTCCTCCAGAGCCGAAAGAAAAGGCCTTCTCCTGGAGCTAATGGCCTGAATTTGGACTTTTAGCCTACTAGACTGTGAGAGATTAAACTTCTGTTTGTTAAAGCCATCTGCTTGTGGTATTTCTGTTACAGCAGCACTAATGACCAAGACGGGATCATAACAAATTATGGATAACATTGCAAAGAAGGGGAATTCCATAACACTTAACTGTGCTCATGCAGAACCTGTACATAGACCAAGAGGCAGTCGTTTGAACAGAACAAGGGGATACTGCGTGGTTTAAAATCAGAAAAGGTGTAGGTCAGGGTTGTATTCTATCACCATACTTATTTGATCTATATGCTAAGCAAATAATCCGAGAACTTGGACTATATGAAGAAGAACGGGGCATCAGGATTGGAGGAACGCTCATTAACAACCTGCAGTATGCAGATGACACAACCTTGCTTGCTGAAAGTGAAGAGGACTTGACGAACTTACTGATGAAGACCAAAGACTACAGCCTTCAGTATGGATTACACCTCAACATAAAGAAAACAAAAATCCTCACAACTGGACCAATAAGCAACATCATGATAAATGAAGAAACTAATGAAGTTGTCAAGGATTTCATTTTACTTGGACCCACAATCAACACTCATGGAAGCAGCAGTCAAGAAATCAAACTACATATTGCACTGGTCAAATCTGCTGCAAAAGACTTCTTCAAAGTGTTAAAAAGCAAAGATGTCACTTTGAGGTCTACTCAAGCCATGGTATTTTCAATCCCTCATATGCATGTGAAAGATGGACAATGAATAAGGAAGACCGAAGAAGAATTGATGCATTTGAATTATGGCTTTGTGGAAGAATAATGAATATACCACGGACTGCAAGAAGAATGAACACATCTGTCTTGGAAGAAGTACAGCCGGAATGCTCCTTAGAAGGGAGGGTCTTCATTTCTCTTCATCTCACATACTTTGGACATGTTATCAGGAGGGACCAGTCCCCGTTGTTGTTGTTGTTAGGTGCCGTTGAGTTGGTTCCGACTCACAGCGACCCTACGTACTACACAGAAGGAAACACTGCCTGGTCCTGCGCCATCCTCGCAATCGTTATACTTGAGCCCATTGTTGCAGTCACCGTGTCAATCCATGTCATCCAGAGTCCTCCTCTTTTTTGCTGGCCCTCTACTTTACCAAACATGATGGAGGAGGATATCATGCTTGGTAGAGGGTCAGTGAAAAAGAGGAAGACTCTCAATGAGATAGATTGACACAGTGGCTGCAACAATGGGCTCAAACATAGCAAAGATTGTGAGGATGGTGCAGGACCAGGCAGTGTTTTGTGTTGTGTATATGGTCACTATGAGTCAGAACTGACTTGATGGCACCCAGCAACAAGAGCATAGCTATCAACCTGATCCTGTTTGGAAATTGGGTTTTCTTTATGTTAATGAGGTCATCCCTGAGTAAGATGGGTTCTAAATCTAATCATTTCTGGGTTATAAAAGACCAGAATAGACACACATAGGGAGAAGAGAAAGACAGACAATGGAGACAGATACCATCTACAAGGATTGCTGCAGCTACCAGAAACAAAAAGAGACAAGGAAGAGCCACTCTCTAGAGCCATGCTCTGAATTCAGACTTCTTGCTTCCTGAACTGTGAGGAAATAAATTTTTATTCTTTCCACGCACTTGTGGTAACTAAGACCCAGGGACAAGTTAAAGGGTTGGCAAGTTGCTTTTTAAAAAAGTTCTTGGAATATTTTAGATCTTTATGGAACGATAATAATGTGCCACCAGCACTACACAACTGTGCCCTGAAGCCCTGGGAGGTGGCCCCAAAGGACCCAGCTCTGAGGGGGCAGGGCTGGGCTGGAGGGCTCAGCTGTGGGACTGTCCTGGTCTGCTGCTGTCCATCTCAGGCCCCGACCTGTGATTTTGTCATGTGAGATGCATGCTGGGACCCAGGAGGGCAACCACTACCCTCATTCCGATGCCACTGTCTAGGAATTTGCAATGTTTTAAAAACAGGTAACATGATTCTCAGTCGGTAAGGTGTTCCAAGTAATTCCACTCTGTGAATTTTTAAGGTCTTACTTTGTAAGTAATGGGGACTACGTAGTAGCTTTTGAGAACAAGCACTCAAGCAATGAAGAATACCTTCAGCACACCTTCAACTTCCAGGGTTAACAATGACTTCTTAACCCTCTGGATACCGCATTTCATAATTATTTATTTTAGTATTGCATGTTGTTATGGATTGAATTGTGTCCCCTGAAAATACGTGTTGTGAATCCTAACCGTGTGGTTATAATCCCATTTGGGAATGGGTTTTCTTTGTTAAGAGGCCATGCCAGTGTAGAGTGAGTCTTAAGGCAATCACCTTTGAGATATAGACAATGCAGATTAGGATGGAGGAGAAAGCAGAGATGGGGGAAGACAGATGCCATGCCACATGAAGATCACCAAGAAACCAAGGAATCGCAGTTGAAGAGACAAGGACCTTCTTCCAGAGCCAGCAGAGAGAGAAAGCCTTCCCCTAGAGCTGGCACCCTGAACTGCAAGAAAATAAATTTCTGCTTGTTAAAGCCACCCCCTTGTGGTATTTCTGCTAGAGCAGCCCGATCACTAAGGTATATAGTATGCCTTCGTCATCACTTTCACTTCACCACCCCAAATCCACGTGCCTGCTAATGTGTAAGGCTGAACAGTATGAACTTGCCAATGTTTCAACATGTTTGACCTACAGAAAGAACACTTTCATGTTTCAAACCTAATACATTCTTTTCAAAAGAAATGAAATGGGACTTCTTTTGAAAAGTGTTCCATAGTTCAGATGTCCCCCAAGCCAGGGGAGGTTCATTACGTGCAGCCTGAGGTGGGGGTGGGGCATCAACTCCTCAGGTGACCATTAGAGTGGCAGTAAGTGCTCCCATCTTACAGATGGGCAGATGGCAGCTCTGAGTCGTGAGCCCTTCAGGGGAGGGTGGTCGGCCCTCCCAGCTTGATGCTGGTGTCCAAACCCGGTTCTACTCACCGTAGGACTGACACACCACGTGGACCAGCGGGTATGACTTCCAGAGGACCCGATCACACCAGGAGGGCAAGTTGTACTTCATCTGCAAGTCAGAGTCACGGGCATTGCAAAATGCCTGCTACTTCTTTGTTTTAAACCAGTCAAAGAAAAGATTGACCAATGGCTCTGCAATCCTTGAATTCATCTGCTGTTGGTTCTTTATAGAGTTTTCCCACACTGTTGCTGCTGTTGTGTGCCATTGATTCCGACTTATGGCGACCCTATAGGATGGAGTAAAACCACCCCATAGGGTTTCCTAAACTGTAATCTTTATGGGAGTAGATTGCCAGGTCTTTTCTCCCATGGAGCCACTAGTGGGTTCGAACCCACAACCTTTTGGTTAGCAGCCAAGTGTTTAACCATTGTGCCAACAGGGCTCCTTGGAAATTCCCCATAGGCAGCTTTAAGCCCTTTCACTTGTGACAAGTCCCCACCAACTCTACACCATGCCCCACCCTTTGGTGTCCTGGACTCCGCTTCAGAAATGAGATCTGCTCCCCTGGCTTTCGCATCCTCACTCATCCTCCTCACTGCTTCAGAATCTCTGGTATCTTCTTCACCTTCTCTTTCTTTCTGACTCAGACGAACCCCTCTGCCTCTACCACCCTGTGACGGTTTCTACTCTGTGGCACAAATCAACGTGCGATTTCTAACTACTATTATTACTATTTGCCAAATGGGGAAGGATGCCCTTCGCTTTCTGGTCACCTTCATGGGAAGGGAAGAGCGGAGAGGGGCAGGGATGAGGGGAGGGGCAATGTCTAGGAAACAGGACTCACCCCTGTTGCTTTCTGCTTAGTGTAGGCGTATTTGTCCCGAGTCAGTCTTTCAAAACGGTAGGTGGGAGCGAATGTGATTTCTTCCTCGTCTGAAACAAAACGACTTTGCTTTCAGTTTTGATCCCTGTTATGGATTGAATCGTGTCCCTTCAAAATATGTGTTGGAATCCTACCCCTGTACCTGTCGATGTAATGCCATTTGGGAATAGGGTTTTTTTGTTATGTTAATGAGGCCATATCGGTGTAGAGTATGTCTTAAACCTAATGATTTTTGAGACATAAAAAGAGCACATACAATCCCGACAGGAGCAATGACGAATGAACGGGGCAAAGACAGATGCCACGTGGAGCTCTCCAAGGAATGCCGAGAATGCTAGAGAAGCTGAGACAAGCATCGTCCCCCAGGGTGGGCAGAGAGAGCTTTCCCCTAGAGCCGGTGCCTCGAATTCAGACTTGTAGCCTCCTGAACTGTGAGAAAGTAAATTTCTGTTCTTTCAAGCCATCCACTTGTGGTATTTCTGTTCTGTTTTAGCAGCACTAAGAGACTAAGACAGCTAGCTCCCAAAGTATCATATGTGACCATCCCTCTTCTCTGGGCATAATCCTTCCCCTGGTGAGGATGTCAAGGGACGGGGAGACGGGACGGCGGCTGGAGGGGCCCAAGGTTAGAAGGCTGCTGTGCTCACCGAAATGAAGGAAGACCTTCTGCTCTTTCCTCTCCATGAGCAGCTGGTCGTGGGCCAGGAGGTCCGCATACTGCTGCTGCTTGATTTTCTGGATGATGGTGTCTGCCTCCTGGAAATGAGACAAGGCCAGGCCACTGGTAAGTCACCCCGTCCTCACTCATGTAACATGGAAGCATTGCCACCCGCCCGCCGGGCTGCACTGGGCGCTGGAGTCCCTGACCCTGGAGTCCCAGGGGCTACTAGGCTGGTGCTGCTTCTTAGCACTCAACTGTTCATTTGGAAAACCTGGCAAGAGTAGTGAGTGGTGACGTCACTCCCCAGGCTCACCGTTCAGCCCGGGATTGGACAGCCCCATAAAACAAAGTGGGACTAATGAGCCACAGCAGTCCAGGGACAAGGACTAGAAGGCAGGAGGGGACAAGAAGGCTGGTGATAGGGAACCCAAGGTTGAGAAGGGATAGTGTTGACATGTCGTGGGGTTCTTAACCATTGTCATAGGGCAATATGTGTACTGTTTAATGAGAAACTATTCTGTTCTTAAACCTTCATCTAAAGTACAAAAAAAACCCCACAGAATTATCTGTGTGAGATCAAATTGACAACAGCAACTCAAAACGTTTGATGGAAAGCCTAGGGGGCAGCGTGTTGAAGATAATGGTGATGGAATCATCTGGAAAAGGATAGTGAGAATAGTAGCACAACTGGAAGAACGTAATCGATGTCACTGAATTGTACATGTAGAAATTTTTGAAATGGTGTGTCTTTGGCTATGTATATTTTCACCAAAAAAGAAAAAAGGTCCTCCAAGGTTGAGAAGGGAGAGTGTTGACATGTCGTGGGGTTGTTAACCGATGTCATAAAACAATATGCGTACTGACTGTGTAATGAGAAACTATTGGTTCTGTAACCCTTCACCTAAAGCACAATAAAAAAAAATTTTAAAGAAGAGTAGTGAGTGAACGATCATTCTGATAAATTCTGGGCTAATTCCAGATTTGCATATAGACTTTCTATATTTGCATAGTGGCTGTTTAAAAATTTTTATTTATTTTATTATACTCAGTAAAACATACACCAATTCAACCAATTCTACATGTACAATTCAGTGACATTGATTACATTCTCTGAGTTGTGCAACCATTCTCTCCCTCCTTTTCCAAGTTATTCCTCCCCCATTAGCATAAACCCTCCGTCCCCTAAAATTCCAATCTAATCTTTCATGTAGTTGTCTATTTGATCCCTTACAGATCTTAAAAGAGCGTAGTGCTCAAGGCAGACTTTTTTTTTTTTTTACTAGTTAAGCTAAACTATTGTTCAGTTTTAAGGAGACTTCAGGGGATCTTTTTGGCTTAAGGTTTAAAGATTATCTCAGGGCAACAGTTTAGGGGGTTCAGTTTTGGGGGTTCACGCAGCCTCCATGGCTCCAGCACGCATGTTGATTTTTAGCATTATTTTTACTAACACTTCATTAGGCGTCTATCTCTGAGGGAATGGAGAGAGCCTGTTGTAAGCCCAGGAGAGAATGGGAAACCCCAGCCCTAAATCTGTGGCCATCTGGGCCCCCGTTATGGATTGAATTGTGTCCCCTCAAAATGTGCATCAACTTGGCTAGGCCATGATTCCCAGTATTGCGTGATGGTCCACCATTTTGTCACCTGATGTGATTTTCCTATGCGTTGTCAATCCTGCCTCTATGATGTTAATGAGGTAGGATTAGAGGCAATTATGTTAATGAGGCAGGACTCAACCTACAGGATTAGGTTGTGTCGTAAGCCAATCTCTTTTGAGATATAAAAGAGAACAGTGAGCAGAAAGACATGAGTGACCTCATACCACCAAGAAACAAGAGCCAGGGGAACAGTGCATCCTTTGGACCTGGGGTCCTTGTGCTGAGAAGCTCCTAGATCAGGGGAAGATTGATGACAAGGCCCTTCCCCCAGAGCTGACAGAGACAGAAAGCCTTCCCCTGGAGCTGGCACCCTGAATTCGGACTTCTAGCCTCCTAGACAGTGAGAGAATCAATTTCTGTTTGTTAAAGCCATCTGCTTGTGGTATTTCTGTTATAGGAGCACTAGATGACTAAGACAGCCCCCCTGATCAGGCTGGTTCTCTGACTCCCAGAGTCAGTGAGACATCAATGGAATGTGTTGGCCTTGGAATCTAGCAGTCATCTCTCCTGCCCACTTATGTCACCTTGAGCCTCCGCTCTGGTGAATGCCTGTCTCCTGGTGAGTGAAGGGTTGTAGCAGCCCGTCACAGATGGTGAAGAGTCAGGCTGTGTGGCGTCCTTATCCCCCACCTCTCCCATCTGGCTGTTCACTCATGAGAGCCAGGAGGAAAGGCGCTCAAGGGCACCTTGTGAAAAGGGACATGAATAAGAAGCCAGCCACTCGCATTCCAATTCAGTCTCTATGGAGCCTCTGTGGCAGGCAATGGACGGGGATGAAGGAAAAATCTGGGAGTGGGTGTCGGAGGTATGGATTCAATCCCAACTCTGCCAAGGATTGTAACTGACTCGAGACAATTTTCTTAACCAGTGTGCCCCTCGGTTTCCTCATCTGTAAAATTGGGTCCGTTTCTGCGGCCCGCCCTCCCTCCTTCCCTCACAGGATCGCAGTGTGAAAGTACTTAAAAATCTCTGTCAGAGACGACAACACGTGGACATGGATAGTGGGGGTGGCCACAGAGCATGGTGAACATCACCGAATTGTTCACTTAAGAATACGTAAATGGCAAATGTTTTGTTGTTTATATTTTGTTGTTGTCAGTTGCCGTCGATTCCGACTCACGGCAACCCCATGTGTGCAGAGTAGAACTGCTCCATAGGGTCTTCAAGGCTGTGACCTTTCAGAGGCAGATTGCCAGACCTGTCTTCCGAGGTGCCTCTGCGTGCGTTTGAACAGCCTACCTTTCGGTTAGTAGTCTAGCACTTAACCATTGCACCACCAAGGGCCCCTTATATATTTTACCATAATTTAACAAAAAAAATTCCTTTCAGATGAGGACAGAAGATCTGCTCATGGGCAGGCTGCTAACAGCAGTCTCCAGGCTGACAGGAATCACTTGGCTTGGATGACAACTTTGCCTGTCCTGTGTGCCATCTTTCAGGAGCACCAAAGAACCAAGCTCTGGTTCCAGCCACATCCTGTGGTACGTGTTTGCCCACTCCCCCTTCTGAGGGAGCAGGGCTGTGTTCTTTGCCAGGTGGCCCACTGACCACTGCTGACTGGACAATGCGTGGGCATCCCACTCAAGGAACGGCTTCCTTGGGCTGAAGAGTGACCCACAATTTGGTGAGAAAAGATGAACTGACTCCTCAGATGCCTTTCTTAGGGATTTGCGACCACCAAGCTGAGGGGCTGCTGCCGGCTAGCTGGATACCCAGAATGCACACTGATGGTGAGGAAGGGGGCAGCCATGACAGTTATGTGGGAACAAGAAGGGAGCAGAGGAGCGCCGTAACTGGAGGAATATCGAGTCCCTGGGGTGGGGAGGAGCTGCCTTGGCCCAGCCTCACAGGTCACAATGACCCTCTGCCTTGAGCTAACTCAAGGGAACCCTGTCTTGTGGAACCACAGCCCCGCCGAGCATCTCCTTACCGAGATGGGCAGCTCCAAGCGGTAGTTGAGATCCCCAAGCCAGAAGAGATGGGTGAAACGGTGAGTGATGTTAAAAGGACTCAGTTTCTTGTCTCCCAGGGCCAGAAACCGGAGAATGTTCGTATAGTTTTGGTTTCGCCTGTTTCAACAAAAAAGCAGCCATTTAGCACGGTGTCGTCGGTTCTCCCCTTCGCCACTGGTGGATCTCACAGAAGGTGGGGAATTGAGGTAAGCAAACAGTGAACATTCTAGATGGCTGTCTTCACGATCAGGACACCGACAGGCAAAATGGGCTTTGAGCTGTAAGAATGCCTTGGATAAGGATTTTCCCTTTTGAAATGGAGTGTCTATTTAGGTGTCTATTGGGTTAATGAGACGAAGAAAGGGCCTTTCTGTCCTCCAGAGGAGGTTCATCCATACGTGGAGGTCATGCCCAGGCTGCAGTTGCCTTTAATGAGACCATGCAGAGCCCCTAGACCAACGGGACATCCACAAGGGTCCCAGCAGAGAGGGCTGCCTGGACTACTACGGTGCACGGGTGTGTGTGTATGTGTGTTCCAAATACAGGCTCTCCAGCAGATGACTAATTACCTGAGTTTCTTTTCGCTTCCTGAGGTCAAGTGGCTGTTAACAAATCCCAAGGAGGTGCCATTGAACATGAAGGATACCCCCACAGCTCCCTTGTTCCCTGCAGGGAGAGGGAGAAAGAAGAAGTCAAAATATCAAACAGCTTAAACAAGCCGAAACACCAACAACCAAAAACCACACCAATTTCCGTCGAGTCCGTTCTAACTCCTGGCAACCCCACGTGTGTCAGAGTAGAACTGTGCTCCATAGGGTTTTCAGTGGCTGATTTTTCAGAAGTAGATCGCCAGGTCTTTCTTCTGAGGCATCTCTGGGTGGACTCCAACCTCCAAGCTTTTGGTTAGCAGCCGAGTGTGTTAACCATTTGCACCACCCAGGGACTCCAAGTGGTGAGGAAATCAAGCCAAAGCAACGCTACTAGGAAAGACTTGGAGAAACAGTGAGGGAAAGAGGAGAAAACAAAAGAGATTCACTTGGGGTGGGGGTGCGTGGGTGGCCTGGACGGCGGGTGAGAGAGAGTTCCTAAAGAGGAAGAGAAAACCCATCGCTGCTCGTCCCCTGGAAGATGTTCAAAGTAGCACAGGCACTGGCCCGGCTCAGCTGGGCAGGGATCGGGTGTGGGGTGCGGGCGAACGGCAGCAGCCTTGCGGTTCTTGGCTGGGTCGAGGGAGGGGCAAGGCTGCTAGTGTTGTATCTTCCTGGCATCTCCCCCTCAGGGGGACCCTTAACTCCCCCTGTGCCTGGCAGAGCAGGGACAATTGGAGTCAGGATGAGATCTGACAGCAGCCAGGAGGTCGGGAGGAAGATGTGGAAGGAAGTGCACCCCTGGTCTGCAGCCCCACACTCTGCTCAGAGACGCTCTGCAGTAGCACCTGGCCCTCTCCGCCCCTTCCACTGCACGTGCCCTTGACAGCACACTGTCTCTCAGAAACGGTCTTGTTTCTCACTTGTGTGCTCGTGCGCTGGCTGTGGGGTCTGTGGGAGCAGGGTCCCTGTCGCTGGCCCTGTGCCCGACACATAGTAGCTCCCATGGTACAGAAGGGCTGGGCAGAGCTGAGGGGAGGGCTGGTGAGGAGGCGCCTTTTGTTCTGCCCCGGGGCAGAGGGCGTTGAGCATGTTAAATACTGTTGGGAAGGGACTGGTGGTGGCGTGAGGCTGGAATGGAAGCCCAGGCGACATGGAGTAAGGACTAGAAGGAGGTTCCTGAGCAGCAGAAGGGCACGCTTCAGGACAGGGCCGCCTGGGGCTTCCACCATGACAGGAGGGAGAAGGGAAAAGGGGTGTGGATGTGGCAGTTTGTGGTCTGAGGGCAGAAAAGCTGAGAGAGGCTTTCACACGTGATTGCAGCACTTCTATTTCCTGTTACCTGAGGGACTCTGCACGCTCCTGACTTCGGCCACCAGAACCCGCTGGTAACCCTCGGCCCCACCCCCGGGCTACTGCCACACACTCACACACATGGACTCACACACACACTCACACACATGGACTCGCACATAACAGACTCACACTCATGCCTCACACACTCACACACATGGATTCACTCACACTCATACACATGGACTCACACACACACACATGGACTCATGGACTCACAACACACACACGGACTCACGCACACCCTCACACATGCACTCGCACATAATAGACTCACACTCACGCTTCACACACAGATGCTCACTCATACACACATGGACTCACACACACCCTCATACACACACTCGCACATAATAGACTCACACTCATGCCTCACACACTCACAGATGCTCACTCATATACACACACATGGACTCACACACACACTTACACACATGGATTCACTCACACTCATACACATGGACTCACACTCCCACACACATGGACTCATGGACTCACAACACACATGGACTCATCCACATCCACACAGTCTCACACACACACTCACACATGGATTCACTCACACATGCACTCACACACATGGACTCACACACGCACTCACACACACACTCATGCACTCACACAATAGACACACTCACGCATTACACACTCACAGATGCTCACATACACACACATGCACTCACACACAGACTCACACTCACACTCACTCACATATACACACATGGACTCACACCTCCACCCGCACATAATAGACTCACACTCATGCCTCAGACACACGCAGATGCTCACTCACACACACATTCACACAGTGGACTCACATTCACAAACACACACTCACCTAATAGACTCACTCATGCCTCACACTCACAGATACCCAGAGACACACTCACACATGGACTCAAACTCACAAACACACTCACATACACTTACACACAAAAACATGCCCTCACTGTTACATATAGACACTCACACAGACCCACTCACATCCACTCACACAGACTCATACACATTCACACACACGCACTCACTCTTATGGATACACATTCACATAATAGTCTTACACACTCACATATACATACACATTCACACATACACTTACATGATAGACTCACACACACTCCCAGATGCTCACTCACATACACACAGACTCATACATCGTAGTCACACACTCACAAACATGTACTTACTCTCACATATATGCACTCACATAATAGACTCACACACTCACACAGACCCACCCACATCCACTCACACATATACATTTTCACACACATGCACTCACTCTGACATATACACACTCACATAATAGACTCACACACTCAGACCCACCCACACCCACTCACACAGACTCGCACACATTCACACACATGCACTCTCACCCACAGACTCACACACAAACATGCATTCACACTCATACACACACTCACAAATGTACACTCACAGGCTCACATTCACACACTCATGCAGTCTTCTGCTCTTATTTCAGTTCTCAGAAGCACCCCAATTGGTCCCCACTGGCTCACAGAGGCAACCTGGGTGAACAGTGATCTAGATCAGGAATCAGCAACCCATGGCTTGCGGGCCAAATCCAGCTGGGGTTTGTTTTTGTGAATAAAGTTTTATTGGAACACAGCCACATTCATTCATTTCTCGTGCTATCTGTGGCTACTTTCACACAACAACGGCAGAGAGAGTAGTTGCACACGGCCTGCAAAGCCTACTATACTCACTATCTGGCCCCTTACAGAGCAAGCGTGTCGACCCCTGCTCTAGATCCTGGATACTCAAAGTGGGGCTCACAGAAACGCAGAGTCCGGAGCTCCTCCCAGAATGAATCGGAGCCTGCGTTCTAGCAAGATTCCTAGACAACTGTGTGCAAAGTTTGAGAAGCACTGGTACAGCCCCTGGGAGAGGTCAGGCTGGGGGACCAACGGGCCAATTTGCTCAAGACGGCGGGGCTCCAGGATGTGCGACTCTTGATGTTTAAATCGGGGGGGCCCTGGTTTGCCCGGGAGGAGCGGATGCCCCAGCTCAGGCACACAGGTGCTGCGGAGGAAGCGCGCCCCTGCTCACCCAGCGTGTTGGCGATGCCCGTCTTGACGTGGTTCGTGCAGACGTGGCTGATGCGGTTCTCATGCTCCGGCTTGGCCAGCACCACGATGCGGATGTTCCAGAGGGTGTGGATGGCCATCTGTGGGAGACAACATGTGACACTGGGGTCCGGCGGCTGTGTGTAGTGCGTGAACCCCGAAGGCAGTGATTCACACCCTCCCGAACCCCCCTGGGATGGGGCACCTGTCTGGCACCCCTACACTTTCGGGGGACTCCTGACAATGCCCTACAGGTGAGACACAAGCAGAGGGACCGAGACCTGCCAGTATGTAGGTGAAGTAAAGATTTCCTCCTACAAGCAGGGGCAGGGAAGATGGGAGACTCCAGTTACTTCCAGTAACCTCCCATGGACCCCACCCATCTTGGAGCACGGCCCCTGGGTGCATCTCTCTGGCCCTGGAAGGTGGGGGGCGTGTGAGACCCAGACATCTTTGGAAGTCGGGAGCTACAAGCATGCTTGCCCCTGGGACGCTCCTGCTGAGCCGGGCCTTGCTCCCGGAGGCCCCCACCCCGGCGCGGCCAGATGCCTCACCGTTTTAAAGGTCATGCTGGTGATCTCCTGTAGGGAGTGCTTGAGGATCTCCAGCCACTCCTTTTCTCCCAGGGGGTCCTCCTGGGTGCCGATCACATAGATGTCATGGGGGATGTAGTCTGCTGAGTCATCCCGCGTCTTTCCCTGCCCCTTGGAGAGAAACCAGGACGTGATCTTCTTGGGAGGGGGGGCGTTACCTTCAACAGCAAAACCCAACACCAAGTGAGTCAAAGGCACAGTCATTCAATGGCATCAGGAGAATTACACACAGAGAGTGGGAGGGGCATGGGGGGGTTGTTATTTGCCGTGGAGTCGAATCTGACTCATGACGACACGTGTGTGTGGAGTAGAACTGCTCCACAGGGTTTTCAAGGCTGTGCCAGGTCTGTCTTCCGAGGCGCCTCCTCGTGGGTTCGAACTGCTAGTCTAGGCCATGCCAGATCATTCAGGCAGCCAAGCTAAGTACCAGTATCTCCCAAGATGGTGGGCAGGGTTGAGCTCAGTGAAGTTTCTTTCTGAAGATAATTGAAACACCTGGAGACTCCTTAGGCAATGAACTAGCTGAACAATATTCCAAACGCTGCCCTGGGCTCTGGGGCTAATGGTAGAAATTGAGACACAGTTCTGGCCCTCAAGGAATTTACATTCTGCTGGAGAGACAGCCAAGTAAGCAAGTGTAGGATGAAGGCTTCTAACTAGCTATTGCTGTTATTAGCTGCTGTCGAGCTGGCCACTGACTCATGGTGACCTCACGCTCAATGGAGTGAAACTCCTGCCCGGTCCTGCACCATCCCCACGACCGGCTGTAGATCGATCGGATTGGTGTGATCCACAGGGTTTGCACCGGCTGATTTTTGGAAGTAGATCACCAGGCCTTTCTTCCTAGTCTGTCTTAGTCTGGAAGCGCTACTGAAACCTGTTCAGTATCACAGCAACACGCAAGCCTCCACTGACAGACAGTGGTGGTTGCACGTGAGGTGCATTGGCTGGGAATCCAACCTGGGTCTCCTGCATGGAAGGTGAGAATTCTACCACGGAATCACCAATGCCCCCAGCCCATTGCTGGAAGTCAGCAAAGCTGAGAACCGAGAGATGTGAGGGGTTAGCCTGAGAACGGAGTCCCTGGGTGTTGCAAGCAGTTAAGAACTCACTGCTAACTGAAAGGTTGGAGGTTCCAGTCCACCCAGAGGCACCTCAGAAGAAAGGCCTGGAGCTCTACTTCCAAAAAATCAGCCACTGAAAACTCAATGGAGCACAGTTCTACTGTGACATACACGGGGTTGTCATGAGTCAGAGTTGACTTGATGGCAACTGGTAGAGGTAGGTAGCCTGAGAAACGGGAAGAGCATGGAAATTCCATTTCCATTTGGAAAAATGAGTTGAAACAGCTCGCTGAAGGAATGTTGAAAGGTCTATTTCTCCTTGTAATACCCATGAAGGATGAGTCAACTTTTCTTTTTTTTCCCCAAAGAGGTAACCTTGACTCCTAAGTGCCAAGAAGTCAGGAACAGAAGTTAACTTGACCATCGCTGTATCCTGCACTCCTGGAGAACCCCCAATCCCCTCTGAGGCAGGGCCCCAGCCAGCCCCACCCCACTGTCTTCTGTGTGAAGGGTGCCCCCTGCAGTTGGGCCTCGGGACCACGGGGACTCTGCCTCGCCAGATGGAAGCGCTCACTGCTCGCAGAGCACCAAATGGAAAGGGGCCATATGCCCTGTGCGTGGACCCGCGAGGTGGGAGGGGAAGAAGTCAGGTGGCTGATAAAAAGCATTAAAAAGGACAGAAGAGGACACAGAGGCCCCGGGACACCGGCCAGAACTCTACGTCACTGTGGTGTGTGACGGGCTTGGACTGGTAAAGGTGGGAAGGGGAGACACGGGGCAGGAGGATGGGCTGGTGGGATCAGGAGCTGCCAGGAGGTGCTGAGACTCAGGAGCGGCTCCCGAATTACCTCCACTCACTGGCCGGCCAAGGTTGGGGTTTCCTTTCCAGATTGCCCCCTGCCCTACCGTGAAGGGCCAGTGCCCACCCCCTTCACCCATCTGCCCTGATGGGGAAGAGGGGCTGACTCTGCCCGAGACGAAGGGGAGGCGAGACCCAGGAGGGCTGCCGGATAGAATACAGGATGCCCAGGTCAATTTGAACTTCAGGGAAACAACGAAGTATTGTTTTAGTGAAGTATATCCCACGTATTATCTGCTTATCTGAAGTCCAGGCTTAACTGGACATCTGGTGTGCATGCAGGCACGTATGTATTTCTAGCTGAAGACTTATACTAAAAAATCATCTATTGTTTATAAGAAACTCAAATTTAATGGAGGGAGCTGTATTTATTTATTTATAAGGGAATATTTATACCCAAAAATTATTTATCTGAAACTCATATTTAACTGTCTGTCTACTATCATCTATCATTAAATCTGGCAACCTTACTCAGAGGTGGGTTTTTTTTTTTTTTCCTAGAGGGGGTGTGCGTGATGGGCCTTGGCGAGTTGCCCAGGCTGGCAAAGTGATCAAGAACCTCTTCACCTAGGTATTTGGACCCTTGACCTGGAACTTTACAATTTAGACCCACTGTGGTCTGCTCCTGGGGTATGAGCACCCCAGAGCTCATTTCTCTTACCCACCGTCTCAGGTAAAGGGTGCAAATGTTAGAGGTGGGCTGGACTGGGGAGGGGGGCAGGTGTTCCCTGGCTGAGGATGTCTGAGGAGAACGTGGAGCTAACGAGGCAGGCTGGGAGTGGGGAGGGGCAGGTGGACGTACCCATGTTCCAGGTGCCGATGAAGATGGTGATCATGTCGGGCTCAGGCTGCTCCGAGTGCTTGTTCTTCATCTGCTGGAGAAGCTGGCAGAAGCCTTCTCTCTTCTGGGGACGGAAGGACAGACAGTCTCAGAATGGCCTCCACCCCGCTCGCATTACCCTTTCCAAAGCCTCAGTCAGCGTCAGGGAAACCAAGAAGCCCATCAGCACAAACTTCCAGGTGAGCAATCTGGAAATACGAGCCTAGAGTCATAAGAAAGTGCCTTCTCCTTGAGCCATACGCCAAGCAAGGCCAGCAGGATGGGTTTCAGCCCCCAGTTCACCCATCAGAGACCCTGTCTTTGGCTGCGGCGAGCCCCCTGGGCGCCTGCAGACTCAGGGTTTTTCCTTTGGCCTGTACAACCTCCTGCTGCAGGAGCCAGCGCTGGCAGGGACCTCTCACTCCTGCAGAGCGGGGCAGAGAACAGAAATGGAAGTCTGTGGGGCAGAGCCCTGTGAGGGTTCAGATTGAAATCCAGGGGTGCCCCAGAGGGTCTCATAGTCCATCCCAGAGAATCGAAGAAACAAACAAAAAAACCAAACCCGTTCTGACTCATGGCGACCCCATGTGACAAAGTAGAACCACCATATAGGGTTTTCTTGGCTATAATCTTTACAGAAGCAGATCACCAGGCCTTTCTTCTGAGGTGCCGCTGGGTAGGTTCCAACTGCCAACCTTTAGGTTACTAGTCGCGTGCACACCGTTTGCACCCATCAGGTTGGGGCTGGGAGAGATGCAGGTGACAGGGACATGTCCCCTCTGCTGGAGGCAGCACAGAGCACATGGACTCCGGAGTCAGACGAAGCCCTGACCTCTCAATCCCCGCTGGCCCCTCTGAGCTCAGCTCTCTGCTGTGTGCAGTGGGGTGTTGTGAGAAACCAGAGAGCTAATGAAGCCCACCCCCCAGCACAGAGTGAGGCTCAAACACACGTGTCCCCTACTCCCCATCTCTGCCCATCTTAGAAGTTCGCTGCCACTTACTTTAGAGTCAGCAAAGACATATTCCTTCCGCACGGTCTTCTCCTTCTCCGTTTCCACCACAATCACCAGCTTGTTAAGAAACTTCTGAGACTTGACGAGCTGCAGGACTTAAGAGAAATGGGAGTTCGTCCATTCACTCATTCAACCAATAAGTGCAGGGTCCCCACTGTGTTCTAGGCTGCGATCATCAACACCCCCAATTTTCCTATGCCCAGGCTGAGCACCAAATTCAGGTCTGGTCTCCACATCCCTCTGCTCCTGGTTGTTATTCCTGGGAGGAGCTCAGTTTGACAGACCCTGCTGGGGAAGGGTGGTGCCGGAAAAGGCAAGAGGGGGCCTGGCCAGAGCAGAGCCAGAGTGTCTGACTGTCTGGCCTCCCTCCCTCCCTCCCTCCCTTGCTTTCTCCATCTATCCCTTCCTTCTTCCTCTCTCTTCTTCCCTCTCTCCCTGTCATGGATTGAATTGTGTCCCTCCAAAATATATGTGTCAACTTGGCTAGGCCATGATTCCCAGTATTGTGTGACTGTCCACCATTTTGTCATCTGATGTGATTTTCCCATGTGTTGTAAATCCTACCTCTACGAGTTTAATGAGGCAGAATTAGAGGCAGTGATGTTAATGAGGCAGGACTCAATCTACAAGATTAGGTTGTGTCTTATCTCAATCTCTTTTGAGATATAAAAGAGAGAAGCGAGCAGAGAGACAAGGGGGACCTCATACCACGAAGAAAGTAGTGCCAGGAGCAGAGCATGTCTTTTGGACCCAGGATCCCTGTGCTGAGACGCTCCTAGTCCAAGGGAAGATAGATGACAAGGACCTTCCTCCAGAGCTGATAGAGAGAGAAAGCCTTCTGCTGGAACTGGGTGCCCTGAATTTGGACTTCTAGCCTACTAGACTGTAAGAGAATAAACTTCTCTATATGGAAGCCATCCACTTGTGGTATTTCTATTATAGCAGCACTAGATGACTAAGACACTCCCTTTCTCCCTTCTTTCTCTCTTTCTTCCTCCTTTCCATCCATCCATCCCTTCCCTTCTCCCTCCCTTCCTGCTTCCTCTCTCCCTCTCTCCCTTTCTTCCTTCCTTCTTTTGTTTTGCTTTTAATTTGTATGTAAATTTAATTTAAAAACTTTAACTTTTTATCAACGATTAGAAGTCAAATTGTTCTGGAGTGTTTCAGCTCTGCAGGCTGATTAATCTTGTCCCCATGTCCTCATTTTTAAAAAAAAAACTTTTCTCAGGAGGCAGAGAAGGAGATAAGGAGCTACATAAATGGGAATTACACCAAAAAAAGAAAAATCAAATAGTTCTACAGATTTTTACAAACAGCGTGCCCCCCAAATCCCTCCCATGTGGCAGTCTGCTTCTATAAAGACTACAGCCTTGGAAACCCTATGCGGCAGTTCTACTCTGTCTTATAGGGTCGCTATGAGTCGGAATTGACTTGACAGCAGCGGGTAACAGGTAAGTGGTCTGACCATCCCCTGGACTCAAATGCCACCTCATACTCTTCCCCCCAAGCCCCTTCCTGCTCTTCCTCAGACATGTCCTGCTTGTGCCTGTCTCACGGGTCTGCACGTGCTATTCCCTCAGACGCTTGTCAGACTGGCCACTTCTCAACCTTGGGGTCTTGGCTACATGCCCCTTCTTCGGGCCTTCCCTGCCTGCCCCATTGAAAGTACCCCCCATTATTCTCTGCCCCATTATCCACACAAACCAAACCCACTGCCACTGAGTCAATTCCAACTCATCGTGGCCCCCATAGGACAGAGTAGAACTGCCCCATAGGGTTTCCAAGGCTGTGGTCTTTATAGAAGTAGACTGCCACATCTTTCTCCCACAGAGCAGATGGTAGGTTCGAAACACTGTTCTTTCAGTTCATAGCTGAGCACTTAATGACTGTGCCACCAGGGCTCCTTATTTCAGTGTTTAGCGGCACCAAATGCACCAGAATGTAAATTCTATGGGGGAAGGGACCTTATCTACCCTGCTTGCCCTGGACTCCAGTATCTTGCCCATAGCAGCTTCTCCATAAACATTTATTGTGTGAATATTTCCTGTTTTATTGATGAGCTTATTTGATGGTACAAAACTTGACCTCTTTAAAGTGTTAAAAAGCAAAGATGTCCCTTTGAGGTGTGCCAGACCCAAGCCACGGTGTTTTCAATCACCTTATATACATGCAAAAGGTGGACAATGAATAAGGAAGACTGAAGAAGAACTGATGCATTTGAATGATGGTGCTGGTGAAGAATATTTACTATACCATGAACTACCAGAAGAACGAACGAATCTGTCTTGGAAGAAGTATAGCCAGAATGCTCCTTGGAAGCAAGGATGGTGAGACTTCATCTTACGTACGTTGGACACGTTATCAGGAGGGATCAGTCCCTGAAGAAGGACATCATGCTTGGGAAAGTAGAGGGTCAGGGAAAAAGAGGAAGACCCTCAATAAGATGGGTTGATACAGTGGCTGCAACAATGGGCTCAAGCATAACAACGGTTATGAGGATGGCATAGGACAGGGCAGTGTTTCGTTCTGTTGTACACAGGGTCGCTATGAGTCAGAACAGCCTTGACAGCACCCAACAACAACAACAGCAAAATGCAAAGTCTCAGTTGCTCAGCACACAATGATGATGACAGCTGAACCTCAGAGCAGCTCCTATGGGCTGGACACGACCCCAAGCTGTTGTTGTAGCCTCGTTACATATATTATTCACTTACTCTTTAACCCTCCCCCATTTTTACAGAGGAGGAAACTGAGGCCCAGAGAGGTCAAGTGCCTTGTCCAAGGTCATACAGCTGCTAAGTGCCAGAGCTGGGGTGTGAATTTTGACAGTTTCGTTGAAGAGCCCATGTGCTTCAATGTCACGCTAAGTTGAGTCAGTTCTGACTCATGGCAACCCCGTGTGTGTTGGAGTAGAATGTGCTCCATAGGGTTTGCAATGGCTGATTTTTTGGAAGTCGATCACCAAGCCTTTCTTCTAGGGCACCTCTGGGTGGACTCGAACCTCCAACATTCTGGTCAGTAGCTGAGTGCGTTCACTTTTTGCATCACCCATGCTAAGTTTATGCTAAGCTAAAATACTGCCTGAATCAGTCTATCAAACATCTCTTAGCACCTTATCTATGCAGGGGCAGGGCCTGTACCAGGCAGTGTGCGGTGACAGGATGGGTCAGACTGGCTGTTAGCAGGGAGGAGGAGACACACACACAGAGCTGCCACCAGACCAGGGTGTGCCAAGTGTAACAGAAGTGGTGTGAACCATTTCCCCAGAGGTCCCGAGGAGGGGGTGTGAGAGGTAAGCCTTAGGGACGGGCAGAAGCTCCACAGGCAGGGGTGAGGAGCCAGCCTGCCACCGTAGTGGAATGAATGTGCCTGGCAGGACTTGTGTTATGGATTGAACTGTGTCTCCCCTAAAATATGGTTGGAATCCTGATGCCTATACCCGTGGATGTGATCCCATTTGGGAATCGATTTATTTTGTTATGTTTATGAGGTCATGTCAGTGTAGGGTGTGTCCCGAACCTAATCACTCCTGAGTTATGAAAACAGCAGATTAGACATGGAGGCAAGAACAAACAGACGGGGCTAGGATCGCCAAGGAACCAAGGAACTCTGGGGCTACAAGAAGCTGAGACAGGGACCTTCCTTCCCCCAGAGCAGGCAAAAAGAGAGCCTTCCCCTAGAGCTGATGCCTTGAATGCGGACATCTGGCCTCCAGAAGCGTGAGAAAATAAATGTCTGTTCTTTAAAGGCACCCACCCACGTGTGGTCCTTCTGCTGGAGCAGCACTAGGTGCCTAAGACACGTAGCTTCTGTTCTTGACCGCTCCCCCGTAAGGGCACCCGCAAAACAAGGTCATGACGGGCGGAAGGGGGCCTTACTTTTCTTGTGGCTGTAGTACTTGTCCTCAGAACCATCCTTGGACTTCTTAACGATCAGTTTCCCAGTCTCAACGTCGACCTTGAGATGCAATTTCTGAGGAATCCCCAAGGACTCTGACTTTACCTGCAGAGAGGAGCGGTGCTGTTTGTCCTGTTTCTGTCTGGGGGTTTGCTGTACCAACCTGTGAGCCCCTTGTCTCTGCTGGGCAGCCCCTGGTCAGTCAGGCCCTTGCTGTCTGTGTGGGGACCACTGGGATTTTATTCCCTAGCCACCTCTTGCTAGTGCCACACGTCCCCATTTCCACGGTATCTCCGAGAATCACTCAAGCGGGAAGGAGACCAGCTCGTTAGCTGTGTGTACGGGAGCCGTTCTGCCAGTGGGTTTGGTCGAGGAAACAGCAAAATGACTGGAGAATGGTTCATTCACTGATTAATATGTCAACACTCATTAATCTGACGTGTCTCTGCTTCCAGAATGGATTTTAGCAATAGACTTAAGCTTTCATGCCTCATTACAACCCATGATTGCACATTTACTCACAATAATTAGAAAAAAAGCAATTGCTTAGGCATGCTCAGAAAATGGAAATGGGTCCTAAGAGAAAATTATCACCAGGGCCAGAGAGGACTTTGGGGTGGGGTGTCTTGTAGTGTATTTCTGAACGTGGGACCAGTGCTGGGTTGGCTCCATCAGAATCTCTGAGGAACTTTAAGAAAAAAAATTTCTTTAATTCAGTTACTCTCAGGGAAAGTACAAGAATTGTATTTTTTGTCTTCTAAGTTCCTCCTTGGGGACTACTTTGCAGCCAGTTCGGGGGCCCCCTCTTTATTGTCTCTCATCACCCCCATCTTGAAAAGGATGAAGTTCATAGCACCTTGGATCAACGAGAAGCCCTTTCCCTGAGAGATTCATCTGGACCCACATCCTAGTGTTTAATCATCTTCACAAGAGGTAGTTCTTCTGACCGCCATTCTTGGCCATCCGGCCCCTTGCCCTTCTACAGCCTGAGCCCCAAACTCTCCTTCCACAGGGAGCAGAACACTCCCACCCCATCTCCTAGCTGTGGGGTGCAGGCCCAGGCTCCATTTACCTCGAAGTTGACCGGAGGGATGATGGAGCACCGGTGAGGAGACTCATGACCCTCATGCAGCATGGCCTTGACCTGTGAGCACAAACGCACAAGGCCCTTCAGGCTGGGAGGCTCAGGGCAGGCAGCAGCCCTGGGACCGAGGGTCAAAGGGCATCTCACAGCCTGCACAGCTGGGCATTCTCTGAGGGAAGTGGGACCCAAAGAGAAGCCAAGAGAAGCTGCCAGAGCCCCACAAGTACCTTATCTTCAATAGAGGACAGCAGACTTGTCAGTTGGCTGAACTTGGCCACCATGTTGATGGGATTGGCCTCACCAGACACCTGGGAGAGGGAGGGGAAGAGCAAGTGAGGGCAGCCTCATCTCATTTCATCCTCCCATCAGCCCTATAAGCACAATCGTTATCCCCCTTTTGCAGACAAGGAAACCAAGGATACCTACAACCATCTCAAAATTATCACGGCCTAAAAACCACGTTTGTTTTTTCTTCCCTGGAAATCTGCTTCCCCTGTGTGCCTCACCTCACCTCACCTCACCACTCAGTTGCTTAAGCCAAACTTTAAGATCATCCTTGATTATGACCTTTCCTCTCTCTGCCGCATTGGTATTCCGGCTCTACGTCCAGAATACAGCTCACTGCTTCAAACCTTAGTTGCTTCCCACTGCAGGGAGGAAATAAACCAAACTCCTTTCCCTGTCCTCTTTGGCTCTGTGTAATTCAGTCACTCACCCCAGGGGATCTCCAACTCACCACTCACTCCTGATCTACACATGGCCTTGAGCTTGGATTTCACTCAGGAAGGGCACCTGGTCTCAGATCCACAAAGAAGTCTTCCCCGGCCATTCTAGCTGAAATAGCCACGGAGTCATCTCTATCACACCACCCTGTTTTATTTCATGTCAGTCACTGGGAGCTAAAGTTGTTGTTAGCTGCTGCTGAGTCGATTCCGACTCATGGTGCCTCCATGTGTGCTCCCCACGGTTTTCAAGGCTGTGACCTTTTGGAAGCAGATTGTCAGGCCTGTGTTCCAAGGTGCCTCCAGGTGGGTTAGGAACACCAACCTTTCGGCTAGTAGTCGAGTGCTTAACGTTTGTGCCACCCAGGGACTCCCAGCTAAAGTGGTCTCCTTCATTTCTTTGTTCCTTGTCTGTTTCCCCTGGTAGAAGAGAAGCTCCGTGAGAGCTGGGCCAGTCTCTTGTGTTTGGTGCTGCATGCTTGGTGCCTGGCCAATGAAGGTTCTCAGTACATTTGTTCAATAAATACATGAGGCCCAGGAACTGAAGTTACTTGTCCAAAGTCACATAGCTAGTAAATGGCAGAGCTGGATTCGAACTCATTTCTGTCTGGGACCAAGTCCATTGTCTCCATCATTCATTCTCAGAAAAAACCTTTACTAAGCACCTATTCTGTGCCAGACATGCTCCAAGATGCTGGAGAAGTAGTGTTACTAAGACACCATTCCTGCCCTCCAGAAGTAGGGTGAGAACATCAGACACATGTATGACTAACTTGAGCACCAAGGAAAATGGAATGAAGGTGATCACCAACCAGGTGATGTATCTTTACCTCACCCCTTGCTCAATGTATCAGCCAGGCTATATTTGCTTTTGGAGTCCTGGTGGCGCAGTGGTTAAGAGTTGGCTGCTAACCAAAAGGTTGGCAGTTCTAATCCACCAGCCGCTCCTTAGAAACCCTATAGGGCAGTTCTACTCTGTCCTGTAGGGTCACTATGAGTTGGAACCGACTCAACAGCACCTGACAACAACAACATATTTGCCTTTGATTTCAATTTTCCACCCAGGAGTGCACTACCTCCGTCATCACATCCACCATCACCACAGCCATCTCTATCACTACCATCCCCACCATCCATAGCACCACCACAATCACCTCCATCATCACGCACCACCACATCATCTCTCGCCGCCCCCACCCCCGTCACCATCATCATACAGCAGTTAACTTTTGCCTCTGTGGGCACCACTGGTTGCCTTATCTCCTTAGGCGTTTCTCTCTCTTCTAATCCATGCACTCTTCCATTCAAACTATTTAAATTCTAGTGCCTGGAGGGGGTCCCTGTTTTGCCTAGGTTTGCTTCTACTTTCCTGGAAATTTGCCCATCATTCACTTCCTTTTTTTAAAAATTTTTTTTATTGTGCATTCGGTGAATGTTTACAGAGCAAATTAGTTTCCCATTTGATAGTCTGCAGCTTCATTCACTTCTAGGAAAGCAAATTACTTTTTGTCTTCTGATTAATTTGTTGTTACTGTTAGGTGCCGAAGAGTCGGTTCTGACTCATAGCAACCCTATGCACAACAGAACGAAACACTGCCTGGTCCTACACCATTCTCACAATTGTTGCTGTGCTTGAGCCCATTGTTGCAGCCACTGTGTCAATCCATCTCGTTGAAGGTCTTCCTCTTTTTTGCTGACCCTCTACTTTACCAACCATGATGGGACTGGTTCCTCCTGACAACATGTCCAAAGTGTGTGAGACGTAGTCTCACCACCCTTGTTTCTAAGGAGCATTCTGGTTGTACTTCTTCCAAGACAGATTTGTTTGTTCTTTTGGCAGTCCATGGTGTATTCAATATTCTTCGCCAACGCCACAGTTCAAACGTGTCAATTCTTCTCCGGTCTTCCTTATTCTTTCGCATGTATATGAGGTGATTGAAAATACCATGGCTTGGGTCAGGCGCACCTTAGTTCTCAAGATGGCATCTTTGTTTTTCAACACTTTAAAGAGGTTTTTGCAGCAGATTTGACCAATGCAATGGGTCATTTGATTTCCTGGCTGCTGCTTCCGTGGGTGTTGATTGTAAATCCAAGTAAAATGAAATCCTTGACAACCTCAATCTTTTCTCCATTTATCATGGTGTTGCTTATTGGTCCAGTTGTGGGGATTTTTGTTTTCTTTATGTCGAGGTGTAATCCATACTGAAGGCTGTGGTCTTTAATCTTCATCGGTAAGTGCTTCAAGTCCTCTCCACTTGCAGCAAGCAAGGTCGTGTCATCTGCATAAGGCAAGTTGTTAATGAGTCTTCCTCCAATCCTAATGCCCCATTCTTCTTCACACAGTCCAACTTCTCGGATTATTTGCTCAGCATACAGACTGAATAGGTATGGTGAAAGGATACAACCTTGGCACACGCCTTTCCTGACTTGAAACCACGCAGCATCCCCTTGTTCTGTTCGAACGACTGCCTCTTGGTCTATGTACAGGTTCTGCATGAGCACAATTAAGTGTTCCGGAATTTCCATTCTTTGCAATGTTATCCATAATTTGTTATGATCCACGCAGTTGAATGCCTTTGCATAGTCAATAAAACACAGGTAAACATCTTTCTAGTATTCTGTGCTTTCAGCCAGGATCCATCTGACATCAGCAATGATATCCCTGGTTCCACGTCCTCTTCTGAATCTGGCTTTAATTTCTGGCAGTTCCCTGTTGATGTACTGCTGCAACTGCTTTTGAATGATCTTCAGCAGAATTTTACTTGGTGTGATATTCATGATATTGTTCGATAATTTCTGCATTTTATTGTTATCACCTTTCTTGGGATTAGGCATAAATATGGATCTCTTCCAGTTGGTTGGCCAGGTAACTGTCTTCCAAATTTCTTGGCATAGACGAGTGAGCACTTCCAGCGCTGCATCCATTTGTTGAAACATCTCAGTTGGTATTCGGTCAGTTCCTGGAAGCTTGTTTTTCGCCAATGCCTTCAGTGCAGCTTGGACTTCTTCCTTCAGTACCATTGGTTCCTGATCATATGTTACCTCCCGAAATGGTTGAACTTAGACCAATTCTTTTTGATATAGCGACTCTGTGTATTCCTTCCATCTTCTTTTGATGTTTCCTTCGTCATTTAGTATTTTCTCCATAGAATACTTTGGTATTGCAACTCAAGCCTTGAATTTTTTCTTCAGTTCTTTCACCTTGAGAAATGCTGAGCTTGTCCTCCTCTTTTGGTTTTCTATCTCCAGGTATTTGCACGTCATCATAATACTTTACTTTGTCTTCTTGAGCTGCCCTTTGAAACCTTCTGTTTAGCTCTTTTACTTCAGTATTTTTTCATTTTGCTTTAGCTGGTCTATATCCATGAGCAAGTTTCAGAGTCTCTTCTGACATCCATTTAGGTTTTGTCTTTCTCTCCCGTCTTTTTAATGACCTCTTGCTTTCCTTATGTATGATGTCCTTGATGTCGTTCCACAACTCGTCTGGTCTTCGATCATTAGTGTTCAACGCGTCAAATCCATTCTTGAGATGGTCTCTGAATTCAGGTGGGATATACTCAAGGTTGTACTTTGGCTCTCATGGACTTGTTCTAATTTTCTTCAGTTTCAACTTGAACTTGCATATAAGTAATTGATGCTTTGATCTGCAGTTGGCCCCTGGCCTTGTTCTGACTGATGATATTGAGTTTTTCCATCGTCTCTTTCGATACATGTAGTCAATTTGATTTCTGTGTATTTCATCTGGCGAAGTCCCTGTGTATAGTCACCGTTTATGTTGGTGAAAAAAGGTATTTGCAATAAAGAAGTCGTTGGTCTTGCAAAATTCAATCATGCAATCTCTGGCATCATTTCTATCAGCAAGGCCATATTTTCCAACTACTGATCCTTCTTCTTTGTCTCCAACTTTCGAATTCCTATCACCTAGTTATCAATGCATCCTGATTGCATGTTCAATCAATTTCAGACTGCAGAAGTTGGTAAAAATCTTTAATTTCTTCATCTTTGGCCTTAGTGGTTGGTGCATAAATTTGAATAACAGTCATATTAACTGGTCTTCCTTGTAGGCCTGTGGATATTATCCTGTCACTGACAGCGTTGTACTTCAGGATAGATCTTGAAATGTTGTTTTTGACAACGAATGCAATCCCATTCCTCTTCAAATTGTCATTTTCAGCAGAGTAGACCATATGATTATCCGATCCAAAATGACCAGTATCAGTCCACTTCAACTCACTAATGCCTAGGATATCGATGTTTATGCGATCCACTTCATTTTTGATGATTTCCAATTTTCCTAGATTCATACTTCGTATATTCCAGGTTCTGATTACTAATGGATATTTGCAGCTGATTCTTCTCATTTTGAGTTGTGCCACATCAGCAAATGAAGGTCCCGAAAGCTTGACTCCATCTACATCATAGGTCAACTCTACTTTGAGGAGGCAGCTCTTCCCCAGTCGTATTTTGAGTGCCTTCCAACCTGAGGGGCTCATCTTCTGGCACTACATCAGACAATGTTCCACTTCTACTCATAAGGTTGTCACTGGCTAATTCTTTTCAGAAGTAGACTGTCGGGTCCTTCTTCCTAGTCTGTCTTAGTCTGGAAGCTCAGCTGAAACCTGTCCGCCATTGGTGACCCTGCTGGTATTTGAATACTGGTGGCATAGCTTCCAGCATCACAGCAACACACAAGCATCCACAGTATGACAAACTGACAGATGTGGGGGGGGATTAATTTTTTGAATCGTATAAAAAGAACACAAATACATTTTCTCAGTAAAAAAAAACTCAAACAATATGGGCAAACACAAAGTCCACCTTCACCCAGCCCCCTTCTCCCAAGTTTCACCCCCTCCCTCGTAGTGACCAGAGTGGCCATTGGGTATAAATCCCCCTAGTATAATTTGTATGAGTAGACTTGCATCATATTTTAGATACTGTTCAGGAATTTGCTTTTTTCACCCAACAGTATGTCTTGGGGGTCTTTCCTTACCTGTACGCACACCTTGGAATAGCGGAACTCTGCACCGTATTTTAACCATCTTTCTACAGTGGTTTCCAGTGTTTTTGCTTTTAGAGACAAAGCTACATGGAATATCTTTGTAAACACCTCCCTGTGCGTATGTATATTCCTTAAGACAGCTGCCTAGAGTGGAACTGCTCTTGTGAGGATGTGTGCATTTAATATTTCCATACAAATGGCTAAACTGCCTCTCAGAAAACTCATTTCAGCTCCTGATGGTGTGGGAGTGTACCCTTGTGAAGACCCCTCACTTCCCTACACCCTTGCCAAACCCTGACTTTAGCAGTCTTTATGCCAATCTGATAGGCAAGAATAGATCTCATTTTTTTTGAATGTCATTTTACAGTTACTAAGAGCTATGGCTGCTAACCAAAAAGTCAGTAGTTGGAATCCACCAGCTGCTCCTTGGAAACCCTATGGGGCAGTTCTACTCTGTCCTTTAGGGTCGCTATGAGTCGGAATTGACTTGAGGGCAATGGGTTTTTTAAGGAGGTAAGATTGAGCATCTTCTCCTATGTATATCATTCCTAGTCCCTCTTCTGTGAACTGTCGATTTACAGCCTTTCCCCACTTTAAACACTGAGTTATTTTTACTTAATAATTTTTAGGAGTTTAGAAAAAAAAATTCATGCTTTGTCCCTTACATCTGTTGCAAGAATTTTCTCTTGGGATATTGCTTCTGCTTGACCTTTACTTTGCTATGAAGCCTTTGGTTATGTAGATCCTCTGTAATGGACAACTTGGCCTCAGCCCCCTGCACCCTACGTGACCCTGAGCAGGTGTGGGGGCCCCCACTTCACCTCGCTCTTCCTGGGGCAAGAGGCAGGATCCAGAAGAATTTAGGCACCTGTGTTTTTCTTTCCTTTCTGTTTCTGATGAGAAATGATGGGGTAAGGCCCTGTTCTGCCTCCTTAGTTGGCACTCAATATGTAGTTTAGCTCGTGAGCCCACATTTGAAATCTTTATTCCTCAATAGAAGTCCAAATCCAAATCAAATCAAATCGTCGAGTCGATTCCAACTCATAGAGACCCTGTAGGACAGAGTAGACCTGCCCCATAGGGTTTCCAAGGCTGTAATCGCTATAGAAGCAGATTGCCACATCTTTCTCCTGCAGAGCAGCTGGTGGGTTCGAACCGAAGACTTTGTTTAACAGCCACCAGGGCTCCTCAGTAGAAGTCGGGCAGGGGAAATGCCTTTCCTGGGAGCGCAGGATACAGGGGCACTCACTCCCAGCCCGCCCCCCCATACTCAATCCCTGCCCACAGGACTCTGGCTAACTTCTCACACTTGTTCTCAAATCCCCTAGCCCGGTTCGTTAGTGTCATCTTTCCAACCCCATGGCCCTTTACCTGAGGACGTGGGCGGAGGCCAGGGGACAGCTGCTGGTCGAACAGCCTCTGCAGAAACTCCAGAGTGGGAAGAGTCCGAACGACCTCGCTGGGGGTGGGGGGCAAGGTGAAGGACAAGGGTTAGTGGGACCTCTCAGAGGCTTCCGAGACGGCGAGGGTTCCTGCTGTTTAGGCCGGGTCTGGTCCAAGCAGGTATCCTTCCCACCAGGACAAGTCCGGGCAAAGACCCAGGTCTCCCAGTACCTCCTGCCACCTCCCCATCTCCCACAGCCCGTACAGAGCGCATTTCACCTCGATCTTGGCTTAGAGATACTAGATTACTTAGCCTGTAGAAAATTCTAATCTAAAGTCACGAAACTGTTCCTGGAAGTCACCTGGTAATCCATGGTTCCCAATCTTTAGTGCTTCTAGGAATCACCACCCCCCGCCATAAATTAAAAATGCAAATTTCTGGGCCCCGACCTGAGTGGATTGGTCTGGAATCTGCATTTTATTTATTTATTTATTGGGCTGTAATCTTTTTTTTTATCAATTGTACTTTAGATGAAGTTTTATAGAGCAATTTAGTTTCTCATTAAACGATTAATACACATAGTGTTTTGTGATGTTGGTTGCCAACCCCACGACATGTCAACGTTCTCCCCTTCTTGACCTTGGGTTCCCCATTACCAGCTTTCCTGTCCCCTCCTGCCTTCTTGTCGTTGCCCCTGGGCTGGTGTTACCATTTAGTCTCGTTTTGTTTTATGGGCCTGTCTAATCTTTGGCTGAAGGGTCAACCTCAGGAGTGACTTCAGTACTGAGTTAAAAGGATGTCCAGGGGCCATACTCTCGGGGCTTCTCCAGTTTCTGTCAGACCAGTGAGTCTGGTCCTTTTCTTTAGAATTTTGTTCTACATTTTTCTCCAGCTCTGTCTGGTGGAATCTGCATTTTTAAACACGTGCCCCAGGGATTCCTGATGATGGTGGTCTGTGGATGTTGGTTCAAATTCCCTCCATAGCCACTGAGATGGAGCCTTGGTGGTGCAGTGGGTAAGTGCTCAGCTGCTAATCGAAAGGTTGACTGTTGGACCCCATACAGTGCCTCCGTGGGAGGAAGACCTGGTGATCTGCTCCCATAAAGTTACAGCCTAGAAAACCCTATGAGGCAGTTCTACGCTCACACGGGCTCACTATGAGTGGGAATCATCTTCAGCCACCTAACAACAATAGTCTTTGAGATGCAGGCCCAGAGGGCTGGATTTTCAAATCTACTGACCTCCCCAATCACAGACTATATTGACTCGTTCTTCCCTCCCCATCTTCTTCTATTGTTTTTTCACATTATTTTAAGCATGGTGGGCAGACAATTTTCAGATCTAATTTCCACTCACTATTTCATCAAAAACTGTTCATGTTTTGACATATTTAGCGTTCTAATGGTTTGAAAATATTCTATCAAGTAAATGTGCCAAGATCAATTGCTAGAAATTTGGGTTATTGGGAGAGCTCAGCTATTATAAATAAAGGCTGCTCTGAACAGCTTTGTTCATATAGCTTTTCTCTTCTTATTTGGAATTACAATCTTAGGATAACCAGAGATTATGCCTCTTGATAAATATTGCCAAACTCTGGTAAATATTACCCATCACAGGACCACCAGAAGCATTTGAACCAGCTCATCTGGTATATGTCAGAATTCTTTCTATTATTTTCTTTTTCTTTGTCTCTTTTAATGGGTATAACATTGCATTTCAGTATTCACAAATGGATTAGCATATTTTAATTTTCTAATGTCATCACAAAGAGCTGTGGTGGCAACTGTTGCATACTTGGCTGCTAACTGAAAAGTTGGTGGTTCAAATCCACACAGCAGCTCCGAGGGAGAAAGACCTGACAATCTGTTCCCGTAAAGATTACAGCCTAGAAAACCCTATGGGGCAGTTCTACTGTGTTACATGGGGTCACTATGAATCCAAATTGACTTGATGGCACCTAACAATAACAACGTCATTAAGTATTTTTCTACACGCTTGATTTCTACTAGATTTCTCTTTGTCTAAACTGTTCATGTCCTTTGTCAATTTTCTGTTGGGTATTTTGTTAGTATTTTCATATATTGATATAAATCTTTACATATTCCTTTGATTTTTACTTAATCTAGGTGTTGTAAGTATTTTTTCCAGTCTGTTATTTTCATCCTAAGTGGGCCGGATTTCATTAAAAAGTGATTCAAACTTTTTTATTGTTCTATTTTTCATCTCGGTAAAGTCTTTACTTAACCTCAGTTAATAAATGTGAGCAATTATTTGCTCATTTTAAATTGGTTTCTTGTTCGCTCTTTTCAAATTATAATATATATATATGTATATATATAAATGTTGTTGCTGTTAGTCGGCCCTCGACTCCTGGCAACCCCATGCACAAAGAAACAAAATGTTGCCCGGTCCTGTGCCATCCCTCTGATTGGTTTCCGATCAGGTTGTTGTGATCCACAGGGCTTTCACTGATTTTTGAAAGTAGATTGCCAGGTCTTTCTTCCTAGTCTGTCTTTGTCTGGAAGCTCTGTTGAACCCTGTTCAGCGTCATAGCAACATGAAAGCCTCCACTGACAGATGGGTGGTGGTTGTGCATGAGGTGGACTGGCTGGGAATCAAACCCGGGTCTCCCACATGGAAGGTGAGAATTCTGCCACTGAACCACCACTGCCCTCTTCTTCTTTTTTTAATGTTATCTGTATTTAACTCCTCGTCTCATTGGGAATTATTATGTTTTGAATATGTGGGGGAACTCAGGTGTTTTTCCTCCATGTTGCTATTCAGTTTCACTCAGCAGGAGTCACTCTTCCTTCCGTGGTTCTCTTGGGTTAGTCCCCGCGAGCTTTTCTGGGATTTCATTCCAGGCTCCATGTCATATCTTCAACTAAAAATCTGCAGCTTGGTACTAGGCAATGCCACTTTCATGGATTTGTAACATCTTACAGTTCCTGGGATGGTGTCTTAGATTTAAACCCACTGCCGATGAGTTGATTCCAACTCACAGTGACCCTGTAGGATAGAGTAGAACTGCCCCATAAGGTTTCCAAGGCTGTTACCTTTTTTTTTTTAAAAAAAATACATAGAAAATTCAAGTAATTTATTTAAAAATGGCTTAGTTTCATCTTGAAATATAGGTATGTATATATTTGCTTTAGAATGACCACACTGCAGCGTGATTCTCATGCATTTTTAAGTACTTTATTTAAAAAACAACAACTGGGGCAGCAAACATATGAGGACGGTCTTCACTGACTCACTGTGATGGGCAGCTGGTCTCTTCTGGCTTCTGAACCCGGGAGCCTAGACTGACCATCTCAGGTGAAAGCATCCACTGCTGAGTCATAAAGAGACTGGGGTTTGACAACAGTTGCCAACAGCTGCAGCAGATGATGACAGTGCTTCCGCAATGTCCAGGTCCCCTCCACACTGAGACCAGAAATACGGTGCCAGGCTGTCATCTTTAACGGAAGCAGACTGCCACATCGTTCTCCCGCGGAGCAGCTGGGGCTTTAAACTGCCGATCTTTCCGTCTGCAGGAGAGCACTTAACCACTGCGCCACCAAAAAAAAAACCCAAAGGAAACTAGTTGCCGTTGAGTTGATTCCGACTCATAGCAACCCTCCAGGACAGAGTAGAATTGCCCCATAGGGTTTCCGAAGCTGTAGTCTGTATGCAACCAGACTCACCGTGCAGCTGGTGGGTTCAACCAACTCCAGCCTTTCTGTTAGCCGCCGAAAGCTTAACCACTGTGCCACCAAGTCTCCTTCCCTGCACCACCAGGGCTCCTGTTATAGATTCAGAGGTTTTGAAATAGTCATCCTCGGGACTCCCTCAGGGGCCAAGGGTCGGGTGGGGAAGTCTGGCGGGGGTGGGAGGAGGGAAGCGCAGGGCAGCATGGTTCCCGGGTGCCCACTCCCAAATGCCAGCTCTTCTCTGTTCATCTGCTGACATAGTGATATTCTCTTTAAACTGTCACACAATAAAATAATTCCTGGCCAAAACAAAAAGTTTTCAAAGCACTATGTATTGCATTGGGCCAAAACCAAACCATTGCCAATGAATCGATTCCGACTCACAGCGACCCTATAGAACAAAGTAGAACTACCCCATAGGGTTTCCAAGGAGCAACTGGTAGATCCTAACTGTCGACCTTTTGGTTAGCAGCAGAGGTCTTAACCACCGAGCCACCAGGGCTCTCTTTAAAGTGTTAAAAAGCAAAGATGTCACTTTGAGGACTGAGGTGCGCCTGACCCAAACCATAGTATCTTCAATAGCCTCACATGCATGCAAAAAATGGACAACGAATAAGGAAGGCTGAAGAAGAATTGATGTCTTTGAATTATGGTGTTGACAATGAATGTTGAATACACCATGGACTGCCAGAAGAACAAACAAATCTGTCTTGGAAGAAGTACAGCTAGAATGCTCCTCAGCAGCAAGGATGGTGAGACTTCGTCTTGGGTACTCTGGACATGTTATCAGGAAGGATCAGTCCCTGGAGAAGGACATCATGCTTGGTAAAGTAGAGGGTCGGTGAAAGAGAGGAAGACCCTCAACGAGATGGACTGACACAGTGACTGCAATGATGGGCTCAAGCATAACAAGGATTGTGAGGATGGCACAGGAGCGGGCACTGTTTTGCTCTGCTGTGCATAGGGTTGCTATGAGTCGGAACCGACTCAATGGCATCTAACAACAACAATTCAGAGCACGTTTTAACATCAGACAGGTCTCCCTCATTGTTCTTTTTCAAAATGTTATCCTAACACAAACACACATACACCACACACACCGAATCTTGAATTTTTTAAGTATAAAATGTTTAATCTGGAAATAATGCTATTTTTCTCCATATTTCTAACCATTTTATAATCTTGAGAAACTTGACTGGCTCCCCCAGATATGTCTTTTGGTGTCAGTTAAGGTCACAGTGACCAAGGTCACACTGGGGCTTCCGCTGGGTGACTTAGGAAGAATCAGCCTTACTGTTCCCTGGAAAGCTTGTCACCAGCTTTCAGGAACATCCCAGAAGGCAGACGGAGCTGAGACTCTGGGGGAGTAAAGACAAAGAGGGC